CCGCTAATTGTTTTGATCGGTGCATTAATAATAAAAACTACATGAAAATTTACGTATACAGTATTCTGAAAAAGTAATTTATTATACTTTTTCGAAGCACAAAATAAAAAATGTAAATTAATTTCAATAAAATAAGAATCTATTTAATCACATTAACTTAAAATTTAACCATATAGAAAATCTTTGCACATTACCTGCTAACTATTGCAGTTTGGGCACCCAAAGTCGAGAGTAACGTAGTCATGCCCTTGCCCAGTCCCGTGCCACCTCCGGTAATAAAGGCAACTTTACCTTTAAACGTATTTGCCGGCAACATAACATCTGTAACTGGAGGAAAATATCCCGTACCTAGAGTGTAGCTGTTGCCCTATTGTACAGTACATAGGCAGATGGTCATTTCATTAATAAAATAAAATTATTTATGATTTAATTGATAATATTTTTAGATCATTAACTTTATTTAAAAGTTGTTATAATTTTTAAAACAATGAAAAAGTTAGCCAAGGCTAGAATCAAACCTAGATCGCCTACATTGCAAGCGAGTTCGCTACAGAATCAGCCAATTCGCTGCACTGCCATAGTGTAAAATCAACCAGTATATAAGCTGCGATTAAAACTTTAAAGCCCTTTTTCTAGGAATCTTATGGATAGTGCACTTTACAATTCTTCTGGATGGACTCCCTTGAGGTATACTACTAACCTGTGAAGTCTCATTCCGAACTGAATTTCTGAGACCATAAGGTTCCCTTGTTAGATCCGAAGTCAACATTGTCATGGCAATAGAAGAATACTTTATTACATGCATAAGTATTTGATAATTTCAGCAAGAATCATTCTTTTTGAAAGAAAACTGGTTCATGTCAATACTTAAAAATATTGCTATATAAAAATTAAATATTTTACATTTGTTTACATGCATAACTGACAGACTATGAAAATATGCTTTGTAAATTAAAATTATTTTTCAAACTATAAATTATTATTATCACATGTATATGCATTATAGTGAATGTACAGTAATTCTCATGTACAAAGAATTATTTTTATGTTGTATGTTATATGAAACATTAACTTATGTAAAATATACATCAGTTGTTGATTGAAGAGCAAGGCCATTTTACCTTAGGCATGGTCCTAGGGCCAAGGAAATGAAAGCCTATAGTCTGGGAAGATGCGAAGAAGATAAATACTGTTTTACAAAAATATAAAAAGATAGGGCTATGTTACCATACTGTGATCTAGTACCTAATGTACCAGGATCAGAGTGCTAGTTGTAGTGGAGTGAAAGATTAAAGTACTAGAGGAGGTCCAAAATATCTAAAAGTCTATGGGTCTGGACATAGGTTAAAAGGCTCTGTGCAAGAGGTGAACAGAGGTGATAATCCTGAAGATTTTTATTGTTAACACAAGCTTCTTTAAAATACAGTCGACCCCCTATAACACTGTTGATTATTCCGTTTTATATGAATTCCATGTTGTACGAGTCACTTAGATTTTACAAATACATAATAAAATAAAATAACTTACTGGAATATAAATGTTTAAAATAATAATCAACACACCTTAGTAATTCCAGCAACGAAGTATTTAATAAAATAATAACGTTTTCGACTATATTTAATAGTCTTCTTCAGTTAATCTCTTCAAAAGTTTTGAAGAGATTAACTGAAGAAGACTATTTTTATTAAATACTTCGTTGCTGGAATTACTAAGNAATACAACGGTTTTTTAATAATTTTTAAATAATTTTTAAACCGTTGTATTGCTTGCGTTCTATTTTACGTTCGTTTTCGTTTTAAAGAGATTAACTGAAGAAGACTACTAAATATAGTCGAAAACGTTATTATTTTATTAAATACTTTGTTGCTGGAATTACTAAGGTGTATTGATTATTATTTTACAAATACATAAGCCATTCACAGCCCAGCACACGTATTTAAAATCTAAGTGACTCATACAACATTGAATTCATATAAAACGGAATAATCAACAGTGTTATAGGGGGAGTCGACTGTAATCTGTTTATATTTTAATTAATCTTTGTGTCATGTAATCCCAATTTATTTATATTTTTAAGTTTGTATACATTAGTTTATTTTCAGTTGAGTAAAATCTTGATATGATTCTCTCCTATCTGATGCCATATAGTACTTCGTATTGTAGACTGTAGATATTAGTAGATTGTATAGTACTTTGAATCCACTTCCTAAATATAGTAAGTAGATTCTATATCTAAATTCTACAACAAAAATATTAGTAACAAGCATTAAGATAAAACAATTAAGATATGTTATTGGCCATGGCTTGATAAGCACATGCATTTATGCAGCCTTGATTACAATTAGTAATATATTTTTACAATAATATATCACAAAATGCATTTCTTTCCAGTACAGTATTTGGAAAGAGACTTGAAAAATAAATCCAGTAAAATTAAATATTTAAACATGTAAATAAGCAACATATGAATTTGAAAATGCAATCTTAATGACAAATTTTAATTATTGGGAAGAGTATTTAAGACTATTCTAAAATTATTTCAGTATAATTAAAGTATCATTACTATAAATTTATTAAATAGTATTTTAGATCAAAAGAAAGATATTTTCAAAGGAGAAATATGTGTAATTTTCATTATAATGATGATAAAATATTAAACTATTGTTTAAAAAGGGGACATAAATTCTATTGATATATATATAATTAATGGGTAAGGGTCACAAAAAAACACATTATTGTACACTATGAGGTGGAAGGGACACAAAGTATTATCTATGTAGACTTTTATTAGTTGTTTTAGAGGCATACAAATTTGTTCTTATAAGCTCACTAACTAGTTATATGAATAAACTATCAGTTAGAAAATATATGCAGAACTTTATAGTCATTTCTTCAATGTCAAGCCTACAAACTACTGCACATGTAATTAAAGAGGAGGGAGTTTGCCAAAATACATTATTGTACATATCAGGAAAAAGGTATCAAAAGTGTCTCAAAAACAGTGCACATCATGGATAGTCCCAAAATGAAATATAAGATATATAATAATAAAAACTACATGAAAATTTACGTATACAGTATTCTGAAAAAGTAATTTATTATACTTTTTCGAAGCACAAAATAAAAAATGTAAATTAATTTCAAAAAATAAGAATCTATTTAATCACATTAACTTAAAATTTAACCATATAGAAAATCTTTGCACATTACCTGCTAACTATTGCAGTTTGGGCACCCAAAGTCGAGAGTAACGTAGTCATGCCCTTGCCCAGTCCCGTGCCACCTCCGGTAATAAAGGCAACTTTACCTTTAAACGTATTTGCCGGCAACATAACATCTGTAACTGGAGGAAAATATCCCGTACCTGTAGAATTCTCGCAAACAGCAAACTATAATACAATTAAACGTTAAGTCCTCATAATATGATTTAGAATAATATCTAGTTTGAGTTATGTGTTACCTGCTTTGGTTGTTTCTGTAACACAAATCTTACAGATGATATTTTACTAAACCTCATGGTTGATAACAGCTTTAATAGACTTAGCATATACCTAAATAGATAAAGAATACAAATTTTAAAAAATAATTTTAAAATATCACAGTGTTTTACATAAACATAAATAATATATATATTATAAAAAAATCATTTGAGCAAGGCATAGGGCACAGGAAAACTCAAAATATAGTCTTTTATATAAAGAAAATGACATAAAGCCATATAAATTAAACTTTCTTTTAACAGTGTGTGAACTGTTTTATTAGCTTAATTTTTAAAACATTAGATGGCCCATATTGCCTATTTAAGGCCTCATATATCATTATTAAACTAAGCTAACGACTTACCTATTATTCTTTAATAATAATGATAAAATTCTCAGAGCTCAAAGGTCAGTCAACAGATATACAAGATAATACTGTAATCAAATTTGACCTCCGCTCACTGACTAATTGATATTCGCCATATTGTTTATGATCTACAGAATAAATATAACGAGTTTTAAATAACAACTTTAAAAAAAAAAAAAAAAAATTAGCAGCAACGTGCTACTAAACTTTCGCGGCAACGTTGCTTGCCGCCCTCTGGCGGTGAAGTTAGGCGTTAGCTACTTTGGCTATTTCGCCCGGTGTAGTACCATCTTACTGCCCAAATTGACTTTTCATCTACTTCTAGGCACCAATCCAAAAAAGAGACTTCACGACCTCGACCGCCACATAAAAAAGTGCGCTAAACGATGGCTATACCTACCGCAGCGGGCAAGTCCTGAGCTCATCCACCTGCCCTACGACCGAGGTGGCACCAACATCACGCCCTGTAGCAGTCTTGCGGACATCTGTCAACTTACGCACGCTGCCCACCTCTTCGACTCCAGGGACCCGACGGTCACCGCCATTGCCCTAGGCACTCTACGCAACGTAGTAAGACATCGCATCCGTAGAGTGCCGACAGACGAAGACATCAGAGCATTCCTCGACGGATCCATGGAAGGAGACATAGGCCTACCATCGAAAGACATCACCTCTTCTTGGGCCAGACTGCGTGCTGCCACAAGACGCTTGCGCAAAAACATTGACATCTCGTGGCACTACACGGGCACTTCATTCGTCCTGACCACGGGTGGAAACATCATCCCACGGCACGCCTGTACCAAAGTTCTAACGGCCATGGTGAAATCTGCCGCCCTCCGCCAGCTGTTACAAAAGCCGGATCAGGGTAAGTCATTCCATCTCATTGCAGGTCACCCCACCAGCAACCACTTCCTTAGAGACGGGCTGTACACTTCATTTGCGGACTGGCGATTTGTACATCGTGCCCGTCTCAGTGTGGTCCCGCTCAACGGCCTACGACGCTTTGGCAACATGTCAAAGAAATGTCGCCAGTGCAGTCACTCCAATGAGACACTTGCGCACGTCCTGAATCACTGTGGCCCTAACCTACGACTAGCGACACAACGCCACAACTCTGTCCTCAACCGCTTATTCCACGCCATCAACAACCAGGACTTAAAAATCTTCTGTAATCAGAAGATCCCAGGGTTCGACGACCGCTGCCGTCCTGACCTAGTCACCATCTGCGAGAGGACCAAGACTGCAACAATCATTGATGTGGCCGTCCCCTTCGAAAACGGACAGAACGCGTTCAACGCAGCCAGGGACATGAAAGTAAGCAAGTATTTTGCCCTCACTCAACATTTACGTCAACAGGGATACGATACTTATTGCGACGCTTTCATCGTGGGCTCCCTCGGCGGATTCGACCCGGCCAACATCTCTGTCATTCAGCGTCTCGGCATAAGCCGTAAGTATGCCAAACTGATGACCAAATTAATGGTCAGTGACTGCATAAGGTGGAGTCGCGAAATATACTGTAACCACCTAAGATACGGCCGTCGCAACCACTAATTGCTCTGTATAGTCTATGTACATTCTTTGTCGCGTTACTGCATCATGGCTGGCTATGTGCCCCTAGCCATGATTACGCTCTGTTCCTATTTCTATTGTATCACACATCTTGGCTGGCTATGTGCCCTTGGCCGCGATCACCATTCTTTATGTTACACACCCCACACCTTGGTTTTGTTTATCATCACGGCAGGCTATGAGCCCATGGTCGCGATCACCATTACCTCTACTTGTATATATCTCTCCAATATGTTCACATTTACCCTCTAAAACCCCTTTTGTACTGATTTTTAAGATTTAAATAAATCATTTTCAAATCTGTTAATTGGAGGCAGTCGCTGATATTGAGATGATGATTTTTTGTTAGACTGTTGTTGGAGAGGATTCTACCCCTGATGTCGTCGAATTTTGAACACTCGTTGAGGCGGTGTATGGTTGTGTCTGTTTTGTTTGGGCAGTATTTGCACGGGTCAGGGGTGCAGAAATTGCGGGTTTAAACAAAGTGGTTAGTAAGCAAAGAGTTTGTTCTTGCGCGGTTGATGAGGACGTTGATAAAGTGGTCAGTGATGTCAGGAAAAGAAATATCTGATGTGATAGAAAACCAAGGGTAGAAACAGTTTTTGAAGTAGGCGTTCCATTTGTTGCTCATATGTTTCTCGTTGTCTGACTCGATGAGAGAGTTGAGGTCTTCGGCGGTAATGTAGTGTTTGATGTTAGAGTTGAGGGGGTTGATTTTGGCGAGTTTGTCCGCTTGTTCGTTGATGGGAATGCCTTTGCGAGCCTAGGTCCAGATAAGTTTGGTCTGAAGGTTAAGGATATGCCTTTGGTTGGAAATGATGCAATTGATTTGGATTAAGGTAGAGGACTTCTCACGATGAACGTGGAGAGCATTAAGAACCGATTTCGAGTTTGTACAAATGATGGCATCTACCTTCTTGTGGGTGACATGATGGAATGCCTGAAGGATTGCGTACCCTTCTGCAGTGAAAATAGTAGCCTCAGTACGCAGAGAGAAGTGAGCCGTGACATTGCTTTTTGTGTGAACAAAAGCCGCTGTCACGGTGTTTCAACCCATCACGCGCAACGATGGTGTTAATATTTTGCTGCTCCTCTCATTCTTTGATTGAAGTATAATTTTTATATTTAAAAAAACATTTCTATTTCTACACACACAAAAATGTCATGCTAAAAGTAATACTGTTTGAGTATAAATATATGTTACTAATATTTTCAACACCTAATTATAAACAACATGTTAAAGTAATCAATTCGCATAAAACATTTTACAGATGTATTTATATGCGACACAGAAGTGATGCTTTTTTTATGCAATATAAGTAGGGCTTTTGAAATGATTTTTCTATAAGAAACTGACCTGTATTTTGAGGTAAAACACCTGAAGAACATACGAAAACTTTGCAAACAGTGCGTTTTTCGAATGAAATGCAAGATAAACTGCCAGCGATCGATTGTTTTAAATAAAATAAGCAAAACCAATTAAAATTGAAAATATTTAGAAAAAATTATTGCTCCTGTGTTTCTGATGACAATAGGTATATTTTCGACTGGAACGTCAAACTTGTTTGCATTTTCGGAGCATCTCATTTCCGTTTCTCTACCGTGTAGAATAGGTAAGTGAAGTGTTGAAATTAAAAAATCGCGAAATATTTCCAGATCGTATGCAATAATATTGTGGAATATATTTTTCCAGCTATAAACGTGACAACGAATAAACAAATAAATAATTACAGTAGAACCTCGATTATACGGACTAATTAAGGATAAAGATAGCCCGGATAAGGAAAAATCCGGATAATCGAAACAAATACTTTAATTTGTCTTTTAATGATAATACAGCACGTTTCATTTTCGATGACATATCGGTACTATTAAAAATAAATACTGCATTTAAATCGTGATCAAATTTTCAAAAAACAAACGTTCGTATTGAATTTCGTCTACAACTGACCAGCGCTAACAGACTAGCTATTGTTTAAAAGGCCCTCTGGTGACTCAAGAAAACAAATTTTATAAAATATAAAGCAGTTGAAACTGCTTTTTATTTTATAAAATCCGTCTTCTATTATTATTCATAAAAAGCAATAAAATTTTTATTCATAAAAAGCAGTTTTAACTGCTTTTTATTCATAAAAATTTGACAAACTATTTATCGTTTTATGACGAGAAACATTTTCTCGTCGCGTTCTCGGCTTTTAAGTAATGCATAAACCTTCGAAACGCGAGGCCCTTCGAACCGCGGAACATAGACAGTGGCCCATATTGCCCATGCCTTACGCGGCCCTTGGTCATAAAAATATGGTAATTTGAATATAAATTATTTATAAATACGTATGTCAAGTTATATTTTTATTACAATGCAAAATATATTTAAGAGTTTACGACGACTGTGCCGAATAAAATAAAAAAAATTATGCATTCCATCACGTACGTAAACAGTATCGTAATTCGCCAAGTGCAAATCAGCAAATTCGTAAAATTTTTGTTTATTTTAAACAATCCGAATGATCGAAAATCCGAATAATCAAAATTGTACTGTAATTAATCAAACTGATTAATTACCACGCTGTCACTTACATTTCTAATTGTTATGAACATTGTTAATTGCTATGTGTTCGAATTATGTAATAAAAGTAATTTTCTATTACATCCACATTAGCATTTTTTTATTATCTGACATTATTTTGAAGAGCGTACTAGTTAAAAANGGAATATATTTTTCCAGCTATAAACGTGACAACGAATAAACAAATAAATAATTAATTAATCAATAAACTGATTAATTACCACGCTGTCACTTATATTTGTAATTGTTATCAAAATTGTTAATTGCTATGTGTTCGAATTATGCAATAAAAGTAATTTTCACATCCACATTAGCATTTTTTTTATTATGTGACATTATTTTGAAGAGCGTACTAGTTAAAAAAGATTTCCAAAGAACTAGAGTAGACCGGCCGCCAATAGCGACTGAAACGCAGCAACAACAAAAAATATTCAAACAGGGATGCATATCAAATAACTTTTGCTCTGTAGAATGATGAATAATGTGAAACGGACTGTCACTGTGCTGTTTCGAAGATGAGATTCCTTGATGATAAGAAGAGAAGTTGACCAACGCTGAAACACACCGATGATGCTTTTGACAAATGTATGTTAGGGTTTACGAAATGATATGCACATATCAATAACCTTGGTTAGTGGTGCGTATCATTTTGGTTTGTTGTGCAGAAGATTTTGGTTTGTTGTGTGTTTGTGCATATGAGCATTGCCAACTAAGTTTAACTTATACAGACACGTTCGAATCCACATGTGTCTGTTGAAGTTCGAGTTAGTTGTAAATGTTATCTTATACTAATGACAATTGTAGTGCTTCATTCCTGTTTATTTAAACCTGGCTTGTGTGTAAATGTTACTCTACACTCTTGAGAAATAAATCGCTTCTCTGTTGTATGGATTTCTTTAGTTTTCGAATCTTGCTTAGTTCTAATTAAAATTGACTTTAATGTGCTTACTAAGAAATTTGTTTCGTTCGATTTTGCTGCAAGTGAAAAAAATAGTTTATTAACTGATTTTGTACACATGGACAAAATGTTAATTTAATTATTGTTTTTATTTGAGAAACAATAGTATTTAAAATTAATTTAAAACATATTTTCTGAAGCTCAGACTAGCAGTGTCTTGCCTTTGTACATCATACATTTCATATAAAATTACATCGTCTATGCTGGTATATACTTAAATTTCGAGAAGCTTACACTTCTCAGTAGACAAAAGGGATAACATCAACGTGCGAATTGCAGTATGTATGGAATTTCTAATACGCTATCAACTGGTAAATGTGCGAAACTGCAACTCGTGACAACAGTTGCAGTGTAAACGAAATTCTTACGACTCGCCTCGTTTGTTTTGTTTGCTGTGTTTACTCTCGCACCCTATCTGTTCAGTTTAATTCGCGCTTCACTTTCGATGTTTTTTCGTGAATGAACGTTTCGGCCGTCGCGAATTCATAGAGTTCTTAATTACTTGCAAAAGACTCCATTCGTTTCAAATAGTTTGTTCACGTGCAGCCGCAGAAAAAAAAAAGTGAACGTGCACAATCGCAAATCCTCGAGCTTTCCGAAATCTCGTGGCATTACTAACAGCTGAATTTTACGCGAAGCGGAAAGAGATTGTTGTTTATTCTTACGTGTGCTCCCATGTAGTCTAGTGGTGAGGATACCTGGCTCTCACCCAGGTGGCCCGGGTTCGATTCCCGGCGTGGGAACTCGCTACTGTTCGTTTTTTTATATCGCCCATCGATGCATCTTGGCGCTGCCGAGTATTATTTTGTACTCCCACTCAAACGTTCAAATCCACCAGCAAAAATTTTCAGGAGACTTGAAGTTTCGAACGTAGGTCTGTAGGATTGCTTCGAAAAAGAAAAGAAACAGCGCTCGTAAAGTAGACGACTTAAAAACGCAGAAGCGAAGAAAAATTTCCCACGCCGGGAATCGAACCCGGGCCTCCTGGGTGAAAGCCAGGTATCCTAGCCACTAGACCACGTGGGAAGTTGTTCATCCCACCTCCATCAACTCCTTTATAATTACACGTTACTAGTCGTTAGGTTAACATCTCGGCTCGTTCCAATCTAACTCCTGCTTTTTTCATTTATCTCTACACTTTTCGCTAGTCGATCTGCTGCTGTAATGTACTGTACAGTGGTGCCTCGTATAACGTACGCCTCGAATAACGGACGCTGCGAACAACGGACTTTCTGTTTGGCCGTTACTTGACTCGAACAACGAACTGGCTTCTAACAACGGACTTTCCGTTCGGCAGTTACGCGAGGTGAACAACGGTCTTTCTGGGAACAAGAGCGAATGATGTTTCCATTCTTTTGACGTTGCCAATGACAATCTGCTATTTTTATAATATCTTAGTATTATTAAAATATATTATTAGTATATCTGAAGTATAGCGCTCCCGTTGAGATTCAGCTTGCTCCCTTGTTTATTACATACATCACCTCAGTGCAGGGTATTTACATTTATTCAAGTGTTGTGAAAATCATGGCTTTTAAATAAACACATGATTTCAATTGAAACAAAGCGAGACATCATCAGAAGGAGTGAAAGTTGACAAAAAGTTTCTTGTCGAATGGGGAGAGGTTCAGGAGTTTACCAACACTCATTATCCAAACAGAGCTGAGGCCAACAGGATCAATGATCTCTGTAATGATACCCTTGCCCGTCATTTCCGACAGGTATTGAAGAAGAGAGAGAAACAGACCACCTTGGACATGTTTTTTAAGAAGCCAGCTGCCAAAAAACAAAGGATGAAACAAGAAGAGATGATCCTGCAAGCTCTGATAGCCTCTCCTGAATCTGACTCCGATTAAAAACAATAAAAAGAGACCTTTTGCAATGTGTAAAAAGTCTGTATCTGTATGAAAGTGGAAAGAAAGTGTTCCTCCACATCCTCTTCACAACATCTGACTACCCGGCATAATTGGTGACTGCTCCATTTTCATTTTATTTTATAGTACAGTAAGGTTACTTTATGCCGCGGAACAAATTATATGTTTTAACACGTATTTCTATGGGAAAATGCGTTTCGTATAACTGACTTTTCACTTAACGGACGCGCACCTGAAACGGATTAAGTACAGTACGTTATACGAGGCACCACTGTATATGCTTTCTGTGCTGAAAAAGTGTTTATGGTACGTCACGCAAAAAGAATTATTGATTTAATATTAAAATAATTTCTATGTTAAGCTATGATAGAAAAATGAATTTATGTATACAGTATTTTGATATTTAGTTGACTGATGAGGGGCAGTCCCCGAAACGTGTTATTGTACTTATAACCGTATCAACTAAATAAAGATGGAATACAGCCAAGTGTTCAAAATAGAAACACACATTGTGTTGGTGAATGAAATAAAAAAAAAACTTAATTTTTACAAAAAAATTTTATTATGTCATTTAAGAAAAGAATGAGGCCACATACGTTGAGACCGGTTTTCTGAATGAAAAAATTAATAAGTTAGTTCTATAAAATATCTCTTTTAATTAAGGGATAGCAATCAAACTGTGACCGTAGGGTCGGCACCTCTTTGGCGCCCTGTCAGGATGACACCACAGAGTCTCTAGGGGACTCGGAAATCGCGACTTTATGTCACGAGATTCGCGATTAAATCGCGATTTTATCCCGATCAAAGGACACAGTGGTGTCAGAGCGGGATAAAATTTAGAAACGCCCCTAGATAACTCGAAGAAAAAAAAAAAAAGAAAAATGGAGACAAGAGGTGAAGGTCGGGCGCGAGGAGAGACAGCAGGAGGTGCACGAGCAGAGCCCGCGGGAGGAGCCGCGNTCAAACGTTCAAATCCACCAGCAAAAATTTTCAGGAGACTTGAAGTTTCGAACGTAGGTCTGTAGGATTGCTTCGAAAAAGAAAAGAAACAGCGCTCGTAAAGTAGACGACTTAAAAACGCAGAAGCGAAGAAAAATTTCCCACGCCGGGAATCGAACCCGGGCCTCCTGGGTGAAAACCAGGTATCCTAACCACTAGACCACGCGGGAAGTCGTTCATCCCGCCTCCATCAACTCCTTTATAATTACACGTTACGAGTCGTTAGGTTAACATCTCGGCTCGTTCCGATCTAACTCCTGCTTTTTTCATTTATCTCTACACTTTTCGCTAGTCGATCTGCTGCTGTACAGTACTGTACAGTGGTGCCTCGTATAACGTACGCCTCGAATAACGGACGCTGCGAACAACGGACTATCTGTTCGGCCGTTACTTGACTCGAGCAACGAACTGGCTTGGAACAAAGGACTTTCCGTTCGGCAGTTACGCGAGGTGAACAACGGTCTTTCTGGGAACAAGAGCGAATGATGTTTCCATTCTTTTGACGTTGCCAATGACAATCTGCTATTTTTATAATATCTTAGTATTATTAAAATATATTATTAGTATATCTGAAGTATAGAGCTCCCGTTGAGATTCGGCTTGCTCCCTTGTTTATTACGTACATCACCTCAGTTCAGGGTATTTACATTTATTCAAGTGTTGTGAAAATCATGGCTTCTAAATAAACAGAAAGTTGATTTCAATTGAAACAAAGCGAGATCATCAGAAGAAGTGAAAGTTGACAAAAAGTTCCTTGTCAAACGGGGAGAGGTTCAGGAGTTTACCAACACTCATTATCCAAACAGAGCTGAGGCCAACAGGATCAATGATCTCTATAATGATACCCTTGCCCGTCATTTCCGACAGGTATTGAAGAAGAGAGAGAAACAGACCACCTTGAACATGTTTTTCAAGAAGCCAGCTGCCAAAAAACAAAGGATGAAACAAGAAGAGATGACCCTGCAAGCTCTGATAGCCTCTCCTGAATCTGACTCCGATTAAAAACAATAAAAAGATACCTTCTGCAATGTGTAAAAAGTCTGTATCTGTATGAATGTGTGAAGAAAGTGTTCCTCCACATCCTCTTCACAACATCTGACTACCCGGCATAATTGGTGACTGCTCCATTTTCATTTTATTTTATAGTACAGTAAGATTACTTTATGCCGCGGAACAAATTATATGTTTTAACACTACGGGAAAATGCGTTTCGTATAACGGACTTTTCACTTAACGGACGTGCACCTGAAACGGATTAAGTACGTTATACGAGGCACCACTGTATATGCTTTCTGTACTGAAAAAGTGTTTATGGTACGTCACGCAAAAAGAATTATTGATTTAATATTAAAATAATTTTTATGTTAAGCTATAATAGAAAAATGAATTTATGTATACTATGTAATTTTGATATTTAATTGACTGATGAGGGGCAGTCCCCGAAACGTGTTATTGTACTTATAACCGTATCAACTAAATAAAGATGAAATACAGCCAAGTGTTCAAAATAGAAACACACATTGTGTTGGTGAATGAAATAAAAAAAAAACTTAATTTTTACAAAAAAATTTTATTATGTCTTTTACGAAAAGAATGAGGCCACATACGTTGAGACCGGTTTTCTGAATGAAAAAATTAATACGTTAGTTCGGTAAACTGTATTTTGGATTAAGTCATACGTATTTATCATTTCGTTTTTATTTCTAACCAATATGAAAGTGTAACTGTTGATCTCATTTGCGATGGATTTTATTCGCAATGTCATAAATTACACATAAATTAGTAAAATCAAGGTAGTCTGTACCTACTTAAAATTAGAGTCCGGAATAAAACTATAAAGTATAAGACATTTTTATGGATATTTTCGATTATACAAGTTGATTAGCCTTTGCGGAAATGAGGCCTTTCAACTGATTGTTTGTAAGAAAGCTTCACATCAACATATTTATATCAGTGTTTAATCTTTTCTTATATAACATTGAAAAATGTACGGGATAAGACAAATATGCCCTTATATCCGAACTAAATTATGTATACTGTACTATAATCAAATAAATATGTAAAAAAGATGCTTTAATAACCGTATTTAATCTCATTATATAAGAGGTAGTTCAAAAGTCAGTTAATGGAGATATATGTTAAGATTATTTTAAAAACAATAAGACCGATTTGGAACATCTGCATATCGTTATTCGTTAAAATAATCTCAAAAAATACTGCAAAATATTGCCGCATCTTAAAGCCTGCATGCAATGGTTATAAAATTTTGCACGTAGTGATAAAAACAAATTGTTACGTCTCAACACGAGGATACATTAGTAAGGGACAGCCCTTACTAATGTATCCTCGTGTTGAGACGTAATCACAAATCATTAAGTGGCAAACTTGTCGTGTAATTAATACTAATTAATCAATGTCAGTTATGGATTTACAACTTTCAAATACGCAACATTTGTGATGAAACTGTACTTTAATGATGTTCCACGTGCAAAAGTTACAATCGCACAGAAGCTTTAAGGTACAGTACATTATGTCGTATAGTGTGTATTTCGGTTAACGAACTTTTAGACCTTCTTGTATAATTATTGAGAAAATAGAAATTATATTTTATTAGATTGTATAAAACGTTAATAAATTATTATTAATGTTTTAAACAAATTATTATTAATTATAATAGACTAAAAATATTTAAAAAGTAAAACAAATAATAAATTTATTTATCAGATAATAAATGTACTGTACCGTACGAACAACGTGTAATATAAATATCATATATAGAAATTAATTTAGAAATTTATTTTATAACAAAATTATTCCTATTAAAGTAATAATTCATAAATAATCTGTAACGTTGTTTATCGTATATTTTTAAAATTCTAGTTTTATTTATTTTAGTTAAATTAAAATAGTTTTTAATTTTTTGTTCTTCGCGAATTTCAACAATTTCCTTTTTAAGCGTGAAAAGGAAACAGTGTTTATAACTGTTTCCTTTTCACGCTTACTGAATAGAATATTAATAACCGAGAATTACTATTAATTTATTTAAAAAATTATTTCTTTCTTTGCAAGAAGTGAAAAATGAAGGTTTGCATTTTGCTTGTTTTAGGAGTGATCGCATGCAATTTAGGTGTCAGCAATAGCTTTAAAATGATCAGATATTTGGATGACGATTGTAGTGAGTATTAGAGATTTTCTATTTAATCATCAAATTTTAAATGTAAGATAGAGTGGGAAGATACGCAGCACGGGACGAAATGGAACACTGTCAGCAAACATCTTCAGAAAAAGTAAAATATGATAAGTTGTAGAAACTCAACAGGTGAAAGCATTACGCAGACAATTTTCTTTCATTTAGTTAAAAACTGTTTTAGCCATTTTTCTTCTAGGACTCGTAACAATTGCTTTTTTGGCGTGTTTGAGACTATGGTTTCTATTGCGATGGCAACGTTTTTAATTTGGCCATTTTTATAACGCTTTTCAATTATCGCAATGGCTTCGTTATGGCTTATAATTTTTCTACCTTCGAACCTTCCTTTACTGAAGTTTCTTAGAGATCCTCTTTGTGATTATAACGAAGTAGGCATTTTCATTAAAACGTAAGATTTCTGCAAACTGAGAGTTATAAAAAGCTTCACGGAACATGAAATTCTCGCAAATCCCGGATTATTAAAACTTTAAGTAATAAAGGCTACGCAAATAAGTCTTTTTAAATATATTTTATTCCAGTCAGAGATTGAGGGAAGGCGACTTATAACATGTCGTCTGCTATCAGTCCTGAAGATAAAATACTGAAATTTTCATTAAAAAACGACGATACACCATTAAAAACAATTGACACAATTAAACTCGTATTTAGACGCATACCTTGTATAGAATCAGGCGCCACTAAACAGCATTAAACAAAACTAAATAGAGAGGCTGAACGTCCGACGTACACGTTTTCGCATTAAAAACGTGTACGTCGGACGTTCAGCGCCGCTTTCCTATAAGCCTAGAAGTTTGACAATGGTGTTTGGATAGTAAGTGGAATCATGCTCGACGTCCCAAACATCATAGCCAAATTTCTAGACCTTTAGGAAAGCGGCGCTGAACGTCCGACGTACACGTTTTTGCGTTGAAAACGTCAGCTGCAACCTCTCTAATGTCTCGACAGTCGCAAACGAGTCTAATATTCTTACTTATAAATTTGATGCTGGAGTCATTTTCTGAAATTCGAGTGATTAAAGGGAATTTTCTTAACTCCACTCAATAATAATAATTTTATAGAAAGTTTCACTTAATTGTTGATTCTTTTGTTTGTTTAATACAGTCTCTAACATCGTCTCCAGAATGTTCCATACAATCCTACACAATCTGTTATAATGGAACACGTAGCCATAACTTTTTATATGCGATAATTATTTTAAGAATAAGTTTATTGTTTGGATATTTTATAAATTAGTATATGCACAAAAAAGTTGTTTTAAGTTAGATAAGTTGATATTGCAGTTAACATTTTTACCAGCAGAAAACCCTTAAATTGTTCGCGCCACCCTACTCTAAATTATGCTCGTTTTGAAGAGAATAAAACATTTTCACAGCATGGATACAGAAAAGTACACTAAACTTCTATTTTTCAGGACTTCCCGAACGGTTTAGAAGAATTACTTGGAATTGTATAGAGGATAATTCGCCCTCAGATGAAAGAGATAAAGTTAGCTTATTTTTAGTATAACTGAATAAAATGTTAAGTTATAGCTTACACATATTAATATTTAAATATAATTTGTCAGTATAAAGGTGTGGCCCAATGCTTTAATGTAGATAGTTTTGTTGACGTCATGAATAGAATGTGTGGAAAAACAGAAAATGAGGTAAATATAATTAGACAAATAAATTGATACACGAGCGTTTACAATTATCAAAAATATAAAAAATATAATTTCTATTTTGTAGTATATGGCAATGATAGTACCGCATGAGGCCTGTTTGAATAATTTGAACGTGGATGACTCAGATGAACCCGTAAGTTGAAAATAAAAACAATTACAAAATTTCATTTTAATTTTATTTACTTAATTGCATTTTTTATATTTTCAGTCTGTAGATTTAGCTGTGGTAGTTGAATGTGTCAGAAACAAACTTGACTAGAAAAAGCATTAACGTAGTCATCTATGATTATTCGTCGCTGATTATTTTACCCATGAATTTTTTCAAATTGAATATGTGTAATTAATTCTTACAAAATTTAACTATATTTTTTCGAAATGTTGAATTTTAATATCTTAAAATTAACCTGAAATAAACATCATCGTTCATTCAAAACCGATAGAATTATTGCAAAACTAATATTATATGGTTATACGGTTATTAATGAAAAATTAGATTGATTCTACTTTCCATGTTTGTATCATAAATGTGAAACATAAACATAAAAAGTTATCATTAATCTACGATTTAAATCGGGATAATTAATAATTAATCGTGGCAATAACAACGAGAAGATTAGTTTATCAAAATGAAAAAAGAAAATGATTTTTAGCATTGCGTAATGCAATTATTTCTGAAACTGAAATCCATATCAAAAGAAACTTCATAGTTCTATTGACTAAGTAGAAATTTTGTGCTCTGTCAAGTCTATTGATTTTTTCTAGAAAACAAAGCAACAGATGAATTACTATTGTAACTAACAATTTTATGCAACTTGGACTGCATACTGTCGCGTGTCTACTAAAATAATTGCAAACACTACCTATTTTCATTTCTTTTACAAGAAAAAAAAATTTTCGTACTTTCTTTTCTTAATATTTTTAATGTTATTACTATAATATATTTTAGAAATTTGTATCTTGAACCCTTAATATAATTGCAACTAGGAAATGTTTTTTTGCAGTTGTTTTCGGAGAAAAATGAAAGGTTACTGTTCTGATTGCTTTGCACAGAAAATTTTTCAATACAATTTCAAGATATTTGTGAGGAGCCAAGGGCATAGAACTGTTTAACACTAACTCTACGTCACTTACGTGGCACGCAATTGTTTGATTGGTTCACTTTTTCAACGGATGACTTCCTAAGAAGTTTATAAATGAAAAGGTGTTCGTAAGAACCCTGGAAGTTGTTTTTTCCTGACACCAGATAGTCAAATACGGGGACTATCCACATTCGCGAGGAATTTCGAGTGGGAGGGACGTGAATAAGTGGAGTGGACGAAGGATTTAGTCATTAAGGAGACCATCTTATAAACAAAATATTTAATAAAACAAAATAAAATAACAAAAGGATTACAAGTTTAGAGCTCCTAACTCGCGAGAGAGAGAGAGAGAGAGTTTACATTCACAAGAAATTATACTACCTCGAACTTATGTAATGTTCGTAGTCGTAGTCTTCTAAAATGTGGATCGGAAAATTAATCCCCTATGCGCCTCTAATTGTTTTCTATATGGAATCTTCGATATCATGGGAGGCGATCTTTAACGGAGATCGACGCTTATATGGCTAGTTCTTCTCTTCAGGGAACTCCGCATTTGTTATGTGGCACGTCTTACATCGGGGAACTGCGCGTAATTTATATGGTAATCTTCTTCTATGGACTACCCGGAATGGAGAGAAAAAGCCCCTATTTATAGGCGGCTCTCCAGGCGGCATGTCAATGCATCACTCAAGTCGACCGTCTAAAAGGAAGTTCAATTTCCCTTCTCTCCGATTATAACGAATGTTACATTTTTTCTTTGTTTAAAATGTTCTCTTCGATATAAAATATTTTATAATTTTATATTAATTAAATAAAAACGATCTCTCGGATCTCACATATTTAATAATAATTTGTTAAATTTTTAAATACGGTAGAACCTCGATTATCCGAACATCTATTATCGATTTTCGATTATCCGGATTGTTCCAAATAAACAAAAATTTTACGAATTTGCTGATTTGCACTCGGCGAATTACGATACTGTTTATGTACGTGATGGAATGCATAACATTTTTTGTTTCAACAACGTCTCACCCGGCACAGTGGTCGTAAACCCTTAAATATATTTTGCGTCGTAATAAAAATATAACTTGACATACGTATTTATAAATNATCCACGACTCACTTCGATCTCGATTTACCCACAATCTGGATTGTGACTGTCGCCAGTGGAACGTCGTGCTGTTCGCACAGGTAACTCGCTTGAGAAGAACCCGGCTATTACACGCGATGATAAAATTGACATAACTACGTGGTAAGTCACGAACACCAACAAACAAAATGAAAGTTTTGGTTAGAAATAAATACTTTTTCTTGCCGTATATCTAATAATAGACAGATGTCATCGTCTATCCAGATGTCTTTTTTATTTTTCTGTTGATAGCCGGACACGTGTTCAGCAGCCATCTTGTATTTTTTCGCGCGCGTGGGATTGTGGGATCTCTCTTATGACTGAATCTAGTTTCAAGAACTCTCTCCAGTCGATCGCGATTTAGCCTCGTTTCAGTCGAGATTGAAAGGGTCGAGAGCGTTCGCACCACGGAACTCTCTCCGACTTAAGCCACAATCTAGATCGAAATGCTCGGTGCGAACGGGGTATTAGTGTTATGTCTATTAGAGAAGCAACCGCTTCACTGCATGCATCCGACATATTTCAATGTAAATGTATATGTACTGTACTATACAGACTCTAGTATTTCACGAATACAATAAATATGTATAAAAAGCAATTTAATTTGTACCTTTAACAATTTATATTTTAATATTACACAGGTTAGTTTGTAAGCGGAGCAGACCATTAAAAAATGATGAGAAAAATAGATAATTCTGTTATGTAGCTATTACCGTAAAATACATATTTAGTTACTAAATTGGTACACAGCACGATCTTATAAAATGGCTAATATTTGAAGGAAAATAGTAGCTGCATATTAACGAGAAATAAAATACGAGTTTCAAATTATTTGTTTGGCTTTTTTTAACTCCATTAAATTTCATTATGTGTTTTTACTCAAAGATTATCAAACCTGTAAATCGGTTTTTACTGCAGAATATCCTTGTTATGCAAGTATGTTCTGCTTTAGTTATTTTTCTTGATAGCTGTGTGGAAGAGTTACTTTAATTAAACGTATAATTTTCTTGTCTAATCATGCTTTGCAAATAAATACAATTTTATTCAATTAACAGTATCTTTATTATTTTTATCAATTATAATACCTGAATATCTGCCTGCTTATTTATCTTTTAACGACCGGAAAAAATTCAAGCGATCGCGCAATCTTTAAAGCAACTTGCATTATTTTTTCACTTTAATCTTGATTATAATTATTAATCTCGCACTGATATGAATAAATGTAAAGCTTTTGCTCAAGGTTTTCTGCCATGGCAATAATCTTATACTGTAACATGTAACAGTACTTATGTGTTTCTTTCCTCTCAATCTATCACGTTATATGCATGCATGAATATGGATTTCATAGATAGTTTGTTATTATCGTCGGTAGATTTTGGAATGTTTCATCCGCATATAAATGAAGTTTTATAAATTATACATAAATATATTTTTATGTGTAATTTGTAACACTTAATTCACTTCATTTATAGCTGATTTCAAAGTTTAAAATATTGTAGATGAAATGACAGTGGTGAAAGAGGACAAAAAGTACTTATGTCATATTAAATTTTATTAAAAGAAATATTAAAACTGATTCGTTATTAAATAGTTATTAAATATTCACACAAGTTTTAAAATAAAAACTACAAAATTTATATTAAAAATGTAACATTTTAAACACATTACATATTCATACGCTTATTCCGTTACATTACGTGTGAGTTATAATTATAGTAAATAGCTGTTATTTTATCAGAAGGAATCAATGTGTAAATAATCTAAAACTCGTTAATACTTTAACATGTTTAATACCAAATGCTATGTTTAGTTATGTTTTAAGAATGCATAGAAAGTATATTTTTTGCTTAAAATATTAATAGTAGATATATAATTAGTTGAACAATATAGAATAAAATGTTATCGAAGAATTTTAAAAGTTTTATGTCCATAAAATATATATGTCGAATGTCTTACACTTTAATTTCTCTCTTTACTCCTCTCATGTCTTAATACACACAGACATATTCACTTACCGAGATTTTTATGTTAAAATTGCTTTCGGAGAATGGTTTTACAATCATTTGTTTCTTTCTTCAATAAAAAATTGCAAATTTGTGGGTCATTTTCTCCGAATGCGCCAAAATAAATACTTCCGTTTAACCAAACATCTTATTTTAATCATTTAATATGTAAAAATCAAAAATGTCTTTCAAAATGATCATTAATCGAAAACCGGTCCAACTTACCAGTAGATGTTTCATATGACAGCCGCCAGGGCAGCGCTATTAGCAGAGTCAACTTAGAAAGTGTCCATATAACTAACGCTTTGTTATTGGCATTTTGTGATCATGTGACTTTAAATCGCCAATAAAGCCGCAATCTCAATAACGCCTTCCAAAATAGCAAGATTGCGCTTTTTAATAAGGTTTTGTTCCTTCCAAACAAAAGCTTTGTGAATAAATTTTATTATCTATACATTCGTTGTTTGCAAATTAAAGCACAGATTAGTAATATTACAAATATGTTGACAATGTTTCGACTACTGATACAATACACTGTATATTTGTATTGATCAGAAATATTTGAGTATGTTATATACTGATTTTTTGACTGATATTTTTTAATTAGGTAGGATATTGTATAGTTTAACTTATTTTACATTATAATAATTTATAGACCATGACTGAATTTGGCTGCACTTTGACTGCACAAATCTCAGAAAGAATAAATTCCTGGTGAAAGTTTTTCTGAAAGATCTGCACATGATAAACTTTGGGAAACAGAAGTAAAAAGAGAAAACTGGAAAGCAACCGACAGTATTTGTGTGAAGTGAAGTATTAATAATCAGCGTTGCTTGTAAAAAATTTATTTTATATTCAGGCGATAATTTCTTCATAAAACAGTCCAAATTGATTAAAATTTAAATAAATAAGCTTTACATTAAAATAATGTTCAAGAGTATTTTAAATACATAAATATATTTTCATAAACAAACAATTATTTACTGTGACATAGTCACAATGCCGGGCTACAATTATTGATTATATTTTTAATTTATTTAAATGAAAATATATGTTCTCCACCTCAAATTAGTAGTGGCTTGTCATTGTACATCATACTTTTCCTTTAATAACAGAGTGGTGTTGGTCATCTATTAACTGCTTTTAACGGAAGTTTTGAATTACAATAACAAATCTTCCGATAGCATCGGAAGTTCGTATATAGTTTACCGGGGTTTCCTGGCGATAAGGTTTTCATATTCATATTCAGTTTTGTATTTTTGTTATTTTATATTCGCCTTATTTAATGAAAATAATATTTATTTTTTTCGATAAACGAAATAACTTTATAACCAAATATAAAGCTTCATTAAGCATTAATTTATGCGTTAAATAATATAATTTAATTTTTAAAAAAATGCTTATTTATATCTAGAAATCTTTAAAGTATTTAACTATTATCTATCTATTAACTATCTATTATCTATTTCCTATCTACTGAAAGCAACTAGCACGCTAAATTAATTCTATTTAAAATATTTATTTCGCTTTTTAAAAATAAATAAATCCAATTTACATTATATTTAAATAAATCTGCTAATTAATTTTGGTGTTTAAACATTTTCAGGTACTCCAGCACATTACTTTCTACTGCAATTTGACTTAGTTACGTTTCTAAAAGATCCTTTATCACATTTCTCTTCTGTCCTTACTGTAATTTCAGGGTGAAGAAACTGATGACATAAAGTTTTATAGTTCAATCCAGGTTCTTCTCCCTTTTCTAAATTAGATGCACCATCCAGAAGTAATAACTGTAATCCTAAACTCATCTCTAATTTGGAAGTATTCTGTTTCTTAAACTCTTTCATGCCATTTGAGAAATTTCCCTTTCGAATATCGGATTGATTCGCTCCAGCCATTATTAATATTTACGTAATGCTGCTTATGGATAACTTGTAGCTAGAACTAGTTATTATTTAATTAATTAACAAAACAATAGTTATTATTGTTGTTATATGTATTGTCGATAACAATATATACATGTTCTTTTATAATTTCGAGACTATTCGAGAATATAAATATGTGATTATATACTATAATAAACACAACGAAGGTATAAATGTAGTGTATCTCTAGCTAGAAAAGATAAACAATAAAATAAATACTTTAAGGCTGATTTTATGTACACAATCTTCAGCAGATGGCGTTTAAAATGTAACACTTTTTCTATGGGAAAATAATCCTTTAAAAATTTTTTGAGAACGAAATTAGGTAGAGCCAAACATTTTTGTTGTTATAGAATTCTAATTAATTGTTCTATTAATGTACGGTTTATAATTTTAAAAATCAAATTTGTTAATTTTCTATGAATTTTCTACTATTTAAAAATTTCATAGAAAATTAACGAATTGGAGTTTTAAAATTTTGAACCGTATATTAGTAGAAAAATTAATTAGAATTCTAAAGAAAAAAAAACAAAAAATGGAATAGATGTCAAATTGGATTCGCCATGACAAACCGATTTTCAAATTCAATCAAATTTCTCATAATTTCACTTATCTAGCTGTTTTATAACAGAAGTAAAGTATGGCGATCAGTCAAAAGACGTCGATAAATATAAAAGTTCGGTTTTTTCTTTATTTATGTATGGGGGCGTGAGTTTTCTCACCCACTTTAATGCTTAATACTCCTGTTTCTTTTGTTAAAATTTTCTGAAATTTTGCAAGGAGGTTTGTGTATTAGGAATAAAACTTTCTAGATATTTTCAAAAATAATCAGACCATTGAATCGGAAGATATGGGAGATATAATGATCGGAAGATATAAACATATGGGGTTATATCTCATAAAACTTTTTGAAAAGTTACAGGTAATGACAACAATTATTAGCTATAAAACAAATAATGCCGGCAAAGTTCAGTGGCAACATTGCCAGCTTTTATATAAGTCTTTTGAGTAGAATAGTAACATTCTTTATCCATGCTGGCTTTATTGTATTTTATTTGATTCGCCCGTAATGAGAAAAACAATGCAAATTATGTAATTTTGTTAACAGCTGAAGTAAATTCTATTTATTGGTACAAGACCACTGCTCTAGACTATTTTCTCTTATAATAAATTTTTTGTTGATTTTAAAAATTGTATTTAATTTCAAGATTCTATATTTTGACTTGAGAGAATTTGGCTTTCCGTGTGTTTAAATTATATATTTTAAAGTTTTAAAACTTCTAATAGAAATTCCGATCATACGATCACTTCGTACTATATATTTCAAAATTAGTTGTCACTTACTACTTTGCGATGAAAATTATATTAATTAAATTAAGTTAATGTTTATTTATTAATTTAAATTCTATTTAAAAACGTTTATGTAATAAGTTGCTATTCTTAGCTCCTTTAAGAGGAAACTTCTTGTTACATTAACTGGACATTAGATAGTAATAAAATCATTCCTGTACGAAACCTCATTATACTGTAAGGTCTCGTTTTATGCGGTGGATACGTTCTACAGAAAAGCGCATATAAAAAATTCGCATAAAAAAAAGACTTTACTTGCCTTGAAAAAGTAGGGATACGTTCCGTAATTTTCTAAAATCGCATAAAACCAAAACAATGAGTTAAAATTAACTTAAAACCGCATAAAAAAAGTTTGCAGAAATTAAAAGAAATAGGCTGCTTAATAAATTACTTCGAATGTCTGAAAGAAATTCATATAAAATTTAATTTCAAAACAATTACAGTTTATACCTTTCAATGCGAAACTCAGAAGGATGTAATAGCGACTTGTCGATGGTATCATGTACAAGGGGAATCCCCGAATTGCAAAAGCTCACTCTAAAAACAAATCACTGACATCTGGATGTGAAGAGTTAATTANAGGCGCTCAAAATCTGCGGCATGGCTAGCAGCAGTCGATTTATCGTGTTTTCCACTTCTTATGGCAATATAAGTTGGCCCCGAGTAACTCACTGCTTCAGGATCTCCTAGTCCTTGCGGTCTATTAATTACTATACCTGCATAAACTGATGGGATTAGTTTGTGTCCTTCTGATACAATAAAATCGTGATCGGGAAGCTTTACTCTGTACTCTACATGCATTAGGATAGGCGATTGTTTCTGCGCCGCTTTTAGACCAATAGGCACACGTGCCTTATCATCTTGTGAAATAAATGCAACTTGTTTCGGTCCAAGAGCAGAAGCTAGCGATTCTAAAGCACGTATTGAAGCTGTACAAAACCGACTATCGAGATGAGCTTTATGGCTATCATTTTGAGCTCGGCATAATTTCACGGGAGCGGTTGTTACGTGTCTTTTTCCTTCGGTGGTATTAGAATTTCGCGGAAGAAGTCGCAAATACGTAGCGCTTCTAGATAAATTGAAACCTTCTTCCAAAAGCTTTGTATGCAACTCATCGAGAGTTTTACATGCTCTTATTTCATCTGTGCGGCGACGATCGTGCGTTGCACCTCCGAAAGAAGCTATTTCCATAATAGTTTGTAACAAAATCGGCTGCTCCTCTTCGATGCGCGGTCTCCCAGCATTTTTTTTTAATTTCAAAATTGAAGCTGCAGCCACATTAGACTCACATATCAATTTCAGCTTGTTTTTTCGAGCAGCTCTGAATTTTTTCTGGTAATTGGCATTTTTTTGTTTTCTTATCAAATTCTGTTTGGCTATACCTAGTTCATTTTTGGTTTTTTTAATATCATTTAGTGACGTATCTCCTCCTAGATCAGTATCTCGAGCTAAAAGCTGAATGTTCAATTTGTACTTTAAACTTGTAATTTTTTCAGCGGCCTCATCTTGAGCTGGAGCTTTGTGTGTTTTTTTATAAGCTTTTGGTGAAGATATACTATTTCCAACAGTGCACTCAACATCGATGCTTTTTGCAATAGGAAGAGGAGTATTATCATGGTTAGGAGCCAAATTAGTTATCATTTTTGTAACGATTTCAGACTCTTTCTTTTGATTGACTAGGTTATAATTATTCTGTTTCATAAAAAGAATAATTATATATATATCAAGTTCATAACACTTTATTGATTAGAAAGCAAAAAAGTATAAAAAGCAACTTAATATACAACATACCTTACTAAAATATGACAATAAGCCAACTTTTCTTTTTTTATCTTGAGTGTCGTAATGGTTTATACGTTGTTGTATAAAAGTACTGAATCCGTTTGTATCAGTGCCGTATCGAGCTTTTGCTTCGGTCCATACAAGATTTGCATCTTTTTGTACGTTATCACTTTTCTTGTTGGCATGTGCTTTTTTATATGACTTGAAAAATCTTTGGTAAACATCATCTAAGTTTATTTTTTGCATTTCTACGTCTAATATATTATCACGTCACACGAGATGGCGTTAGTACAACGAGCGTTCTTAACAGAAACCACCCAATTAAAGCCAAATTCAAAACTCCAGATTCAACGAAATAAAAAAAATAAATTTAAGAATATTACGTAAGACTGGATTTATTACCCCCTACCCCTGAGTAAGAAATAGTAAGAAATCATTGACCCCACCCCAAAATACCTTACGTAATTTATGGACGGCCCCTAAGTATAAAAATGTAAAAATATTGGAGGAAATAATTTTTTGACCGATCGCCATACTTTTCCTTCGTTAAAGATAACAGAGCCAAAAAAGTAAAAACGGAGTCCATGACTTTGTTGTTGATATACAAAGGTATTACAGTGACAATGTCCATACTCTCCGATGCGACGAGCACCTTTAAAGGAATTTGGATTGAAAATAAAAACAGTGTTACGTGCGACTAACAAAGAACACAAGAACAAAGCATTTGTTCTTGGATCGTCTCCGTACCTGATTTTTTGAAATAGTCCAATAATTTAGAATGACAGCTTTCAAAAAGAAATGGCACACATTTAACACATTAATTTCATTCCATAAAAATTGATAATTGCTAATTATGTTTGAGTTAAATTTTGCATGAATTTTGCAGCAAAATTTTGTGCAGAAATATATGCCTATTCCTTAAAATTAAATACAATAACTGAATATTGAAAATTAACTTAGAAATGTTGCCAAATTACTACAATATTTTTTAGTTTGCGACTTAAAACAATTTGATCAACATTTTATGTCTTAAACACATTATTTCATAAATAATATTTTTTATTTGTATGTTTTTAAATATAAAATCCGTGTTATACTCATTAAACGTTAATCATATTCTAAGAGCGAATACACAAACTTACAGATTAATTCTTTTTCAAAATAGGATCATATTGTTCGGTTGTTGGACTACAATTTGAAAGAAATTGTAGACCTATAAATTCTCACTATCGTCTGTCTGTCAGACTTTCTTTCCTTAATCTCCAGAACGGGTTAGATATATCAAACAGGTGTCACATATAGACTGTAGGGACAGGAGGCCCCGATTAACAATATACGAACTTCCGGAAGTTCGTATATTGTTATTCCTTTTTATCGGAAGTTACATTATTTCAATTCATATGTTTTCTCCTGAAAGCAGTTAATAGATGTCTATTGTTGAAAGAAAAGTATAATGTACAGGGGCAAGACACTACTAATTTGAGGTGGAGAGCATATATTTTAAATTAAATTAAAAGTTGCGGCCGGCATTGTGAGAATGTCAATAAATAACCCCTCGTTAACGTTCTCGTTTTTACAAGAGTCTTTCTCAACTAACTTTCTTAACTCCAGAACGTTTCTAATTCCTTCTTGAAATCGTGGGAATAGAATGTTGAAGTTTCCATAATCTGCTACATCTTGTCCAGCAACCGAGTGATAAAACCCTATTTTATGTAAGTTAATTCTGTGAGATGATTATTTCTGAAAGACTAACATTATATTGAAAGGAATATTATGATTTTAATGTTATATAATAATTATATAGTAACAATTAAAGGAACAGTTTAACAAGTGCAAACATGGAGGTTATCTAATAAAATTTAATAAACTATAGATAAATTTTACGAAAGAGTACCCTAATATGGTACTCCTAATACCTTGATTTTTTCAAATGTTTTTTTAAACAGTTTGGAATGTTTTAAAATAAATATTCTTTCATCTGAAAATATTTTCTTGTAATTAAAGTTACACACTTTCGATATATACGGATATGTATGTTTAATCCTTTACGTAATGAAATTAATCTACATCCTATGATTAGAACTTTCTGCTAATGATCAAAGTAGTTTCCTCATTCTCATAATCTTTATTCGTTGCACCACATCCGCGAAATCGTGCATTTCTATCCTTATGCGAGGAATGTAGGCGGACAATCAGGTTACATAATCCTATTAACAAATTAATATTTATAATAATTTTTTATTATGTCCCTAACGAAAAGAAAGAAGCCGCATACGTTGAGTGTGGTTTTCTGAATGAAAAAATTAATACGTTAGTTCTATAAAATATCTTTTTTANTAATGTTGAATCGTTCATTTTCAGGTTTCAAGTAGTCCAGAAGGGAAGTATGTGTCCATAATAAGCATATTGCTGATTGATTACTTATGGTTTTACTTTTATTTCAGGGACCAATTTAATTTGACGCCATCGAAGTCTATTTCATCCACCATGTAATATATACTACATACAATATGTAAATATAATACAGTATACATATTGTTTCCAAAAGAAACCTGCCAAAGGAGATTGTGTGAAGAAGCTCGTGAAGTATGTGTTTATAATTAGCGTACTGCTGATTTACTATTTATTATTTTACATTTTTTTCAGGTACGGATTTATTTTAACTGCATCGAAGTGTATTTCATCCGCCATGTGATATGTTTTACAAACATTATATAAATATAACATACTGTGTTCAAAAGTAAAGTGCCATAAGGGATTGTGCGGTGAAGCTTGTAAGCGAACCAACAGAAGCAAGCGTATGATGTATCATTCCAATCTACAATAATTATTTTAAACAAACTTTCGATTCCATTCAACATTTGTGTTTTGGAAATGGCGCGATTCCAGTTTTTCTCGTAATGTCGATACTGCCTAGACATTACGAGGTTTCTGGACAAACAAAAAACCCACGGAGAAGGGTGAGACCTTGACGATGGTTCCGTGGCTTCAAATGGAATTTATTTTCTGTCACTAACTTCACCCGGCAGAAGAAATCACAAATATTTCTAAAATGTATTTCTTTTTCACATTTATTCAACAGTTGCGAGTGATTAAAACAACTAAACGCTGGTATTTGGTCTTGGGTCAATGGGCTGGAAACGTGCGTTTTCCGGGTTTTCTTAACATTACTAAAAACTGAATAGGAAACCATTGCCCATAATTTGTTTGTAATGCAGGTTAACTATATTAGTAAGGCCACGGCCACCTTCTTCGTAAAGAAGGTGGCCTTGGCCTTATTATTATTATTATTATTTAGTTGTTTATTTTCATCTGTAATTTATACTTATTTTGATTTTATGACGAGTAGAAACCCTTATAAATAGACCAAAAACGTTTGGGTTATTATAAATTGAATGATCTGTCGGTTGGTTGGTATTATGTTTTGAATAAAAATTAAACTGCTTAAATTAATTTTAAAATCTTCACAAATACAAGACAAACAGACAGATTATTTATTAATCGATTACATTATCAAAAATTAACATCTCGATTAACATAAATAATTAAAGGTTAAAGTATACATATTTTCCATATGTTAGTTAAGCTTGACGAATATTTGATTCCCGAAGAGAATTGAAAAAAAAAACTTAATTCAGTAAAATTAATTTTACATTTTACTCAATATATAATAAAGATAAAGAATAAAGTGATTAGAATGATTTAAAAGTACATTATACTAATATGCACCGTCTGAGGTAATCCAGTGTCAAAAATATGATCAATAAACGCGGTTATTTTCGTTATATTTTTGACATTGGTGTGGAGGATTTCACCCTCACCATATACATCGTTACAGTGTATTTACGCGCACACAAATCATGATTAAACTATATATTTTGTTATGTTTATAGGATGGAATGATCACTTAAATAACTCGTATTTTCGGTACTATTCAGAATTATTTTTACTTTCCAGACTGTTGTACTGTACAGTACATAACAGAGGGAAAATTTGTCGATCGGTTGATCAATTTTGTATAACAACATTTCACTGTTTCCATTTACGTGTATTATACAGTATTAATTATTGTCTTGCTTACTGCTGTTAATTAGAATGACGATTATCAGAGTAATTTTTATTATTAGCTGAAATATAAATGAACACGACATAATCAAATTATTCTATAATAAAATAAAAATAGTTTACAGTCTTTAAATGAATGCTTACTTAACAGTGGATGCGTATTTGTTCTCACCCCTTTCGATAGTCCGCTATAAATGAAATTACGTTTTCTATAACTTGTTGGAAGTTTATATAGATATTGAATAACGTAAATTATTATAAAATTAAATTTATCTTCACAAGAAGAAACAAAACTACGTGTCTGATATAAAATTCTGGTCGATAAGTCTTCTGATATTTCGTTATATCGTGCTTGTCGGGAGACAAAGAAAAAGAGCTATATAACCGAGTACTAAAAATTCTGTGCTTACACTAAACAGATTATACATTCTGTATAATCTCTGTCTTCTATTCTTTCATCAGCATGTGTTTCTGATATAAAATAAGCTTAGTTTTGCAATACTGGATTTAATTCGTGGCTGTAAACCCCGTGAAGTTTGACCTATCGACCCGGAAGTTCGGCCATTATCTCATTGATAACGAGAAGAGCTTAAGTTTAAAATTTGAGCTTTGTAAACCCACTATATTTCTCTTTCGTGCGTCTGCGATGCCGGATAAAGTAGAAGAAAGAGACGAAAATATATCAAAACATGATAAAAAATGGAGTCCATGACCGATTTCTAGATATAAGGTCGTTTCACGAGCACGTGCTACTGTCGTGCGATGTTTCACTTAACTGTCCTGGCAACATTTAAAAATCTGCTGGCGCTATCTGTTATGATATTTCATTAAAAAACACTTTACATTTTTTGTTATTGTAAAATGGCAAAAAGCTTAATTATCAGAGTAAAGATGGGTTTCATAAAAAATTGTAAATGCTAAATTGTCATTAAATCCGACCCTACTCGAGAGATTACAGACAACCACTCTTTATCTCCCCATCCCGTCGACCGCAAACCAATAAAATTTAACAGCATTAAGTTCCCTAATACACAAACCTTTCTGCAAAATTTCAGAAATTTTCGAAAGCACAGGAGTTATTAAGCTTCAAAGAGAGTAAACAAACTCGGGCCACACCAAACAAACACACATAACATCCATAAATACAGAAAAAAAGCTCTAAATGTGTCCGCATTTATCGACGTTTCAAGATGTCCTAAGGGGCCGTTCATAAATTACGTAAGGGCGATTTCGGTCATTCTAGACCCCCACCCACTCCTGTGTAAGAAAAAGTAATATTTTATTTGATCCCCCCTCCCCTTCCCTATCTTACGTAATATTTAGGCATGATTTTTTAGAAAGATTTTAACAAAAAAAACTTTTTTTATGAAACTCTAAAAACCTTAGGTCCAAAATATATAATTATTAATTAGTTAATTAATATTTACTATTATTTATAAAAGACTTTGTGAACAAATTTTAAAATATGAAAATATAAAAATTTAATGAATTCGAATGAAGTTTATTTTAAGAATTTTATTTTTTAATTATTAACAATCTTTTTATTATTATTGTTATAATATTCATTTTTATAATAATTTTAATTTTCACTTGTCCATGGATTTTTCAGCCAATTTTCAAGTGATTCAATCACAGGCAAAGAGTCTGATTCAGAAACTTCATCGTTTTTTAATTCAAGAAATTCTGTTCTCTCAACATCATCTTCACACATCCATTCAGCATCTTCCGCTAACGTACAATCGTCTGTTATTACACAAAGTAGTTCTTTTTTTCGACGTGCTTCAATACGAACAGGTTTCATTTTGGAAAAACATACTTTATGATTAGTCAGTTTCTTGTGCTCGCTAATTTTTTTCTTTGAAGCAAAATACNGTTTTTTTATAAGCTTTTGGTGAAGATATACTATTTCCAACAGTGCACTCAACATCGATGCTTTTTGCAATAGGAAGAGGAGTATTATCATGGTTAGGAGCCAAATTAGTTATCATTTTTGTAACGATTTCAGACTCTTTCTTTTGATTGACTAGGTTATAATTATTCTGTTTCATAAAAAGAATAATTATATATATATCAAGTTCATAACACTTTATTGATTAGAAAGCAAAAAAGTATAAAAAGCAACTTAATATACAACATACCTTACTAAAATATGACAATAAGCCAACTTTTCTTTTTTTATCTTGAGTGTCGTAATGGTTTATACGTTGTTGTATAAAAGTACTGAATCCGTTTGTATCAGTGCCGTATCGAGCTTTTGCTTCGGTCCATACAAGATTTGCATCTTTTTGTACGTTATCACTTTTCTTGTTGGCATGTGCTTTTTTATATGACTTGAAAAATCTTTGGTAAACATCATCTAAGTTTATTTTTTGCATTTCTACGTCTAATATATTATCACGTCACACGAGATGGCGTTAGTACAACGAGCGTTCTTAACAGAAACCACCCAATTAAAGCCAAATTCAAAACTCCAGATTCAACGAAACAAAAAAAATAAATTTAAGAATATTACGTAAGACTGGATTTATTACCCCCTACCCCTGAGTAAGAAATAGTAAGAAATCATTGACCCCACCCCAAAATACCTTACGTAATTTATGGACGGCCCCTAAGTATAAAAATGTAAAAATATTGGAGGAAATAATTTTTTGACCGATCGCCATACTTTCCCTTCGTTAAAGATAACAGAGCCAAAAAAGTAAAAACGGAGTCCATGACTTTGTTGTTGATATACAAAGGTATTACAGTGACAATGTCCATACTCTCCGATGCGACGAGCACCTTTAAAGGAATTTGGATTGAAAATAAAAACAGTGTTACGTGCGACTAACAAAGAACACAAGAACAAAGCATTTGTTCTTGGATCGTCTCCGTACCTGATTTTTTGAAATAGTCCAATAATTTAGAATGACAGCTTTCAAAAAGAAATGGCACACATTTAACACATTAATTTCATTCCATAAAAATTGATAATTGCTAATTATGTTTGAGTTAAATTTTGCATGAATTTTGCAGCAAAATTTTGTGCAGAAATATATGCCTATTCCTTAAAATTAAATACAATAACTGAATATTGAAAATTAACTTAGAAATGTTGTCAAATTACTACAATATTTTTTAGTTTGCGACTTAAAACAATTTGATCAACATTTTATGTCTTAAACACATTATTTCATAAATAATATTTTTTATTTGTATGTTTTTAAATATAAAATCCGTGTTATACTCATTAAACGTTAATCATATTCTAAGAGCGAATACACAAACTTACAGATTAATTCTTTTTCAAAATAGGATCATATTGTTCGGTTGTTGGACTACAATTTGAAAGAAATTGTAGACCTATAAATTCTCACTATCGTCTGTCTGTCAGACTTTCTTTCCTTAATCTCCAGAACGGGTTAGATATATGAAACAGGTGTCACATATAGACTGTAGGGACAGGAGGCCCCGATTAACAATATACGAACTTCCGGAAGTTCGTATATTGTTATTCCTTTTTATCGGAAGTTACATTATTTCAATTCATATGTTTTCTCCTGAAAGCAGTTAATAGATGTCTATTGTTGAAAGAAAAGTATAATGTACAGGGGCAAGACACTACTAATTTGAGGTGGAGAGCATATATTTTAAATTAAATTAAAAGTTGCGGCCGGCATTGTGAGAATGTCAATAAATAACCCCTCGTTAACGTTCTCGTTTTTACAAGAGTCTTTCTCAACTAACTTTCTTAACTCCAGAACGTTTCTAATTCCTTCTTGAAATCGTGGGAATAGAATGTTGAAGTTTCCATAATCTGCTACATCTTGTCCAGCAACCGAGTGATAAAACCCTATTTTATGTAAGTTAATTCTGTGAGATGATTATTTCTGAAAGACTAACATTATATTGAAAGGAATATTATGATTTTAATGTTATATAATAATTATATAGTAACAATTAAAGGAACAGTTTAACAAGTGCAAACATGGAGGTTATCTAATAAAATTTAATAAACTATAGATAAATTTTACGAAAGAGTACCCTAATATGGTACTCCTAATACCTTGATTTTTTCAAATGTTTTTTTAAACAGTTTGGAATGTTTTAAAATAAATATTCTTTCATCTGAAAATATTTTCTTGTAATTAAAGTTACACACTTTCGATATATACGGATATGTATGTTTAATCCTTTACGTAATGAAATTAATCTACATCCTATGATTAGAACTTTCTGCTAATGATCAAAGTAGTTTCCTCATTCTCATAATCTTTATTCGTTGCACCACATCCGCGAAATCGTGCATTTCTATCCTTATGCGAGGAATGTAGGCGGACAATCAGGTTACATAATCCTATTAACAAATTAATATTTATAATAATTTTTTATTATGTCCCTAACGAAAAGAAAGAAGCCGCATACGTTGAGTGTGGTTTTCTGAATGAAAAAATTAATACGTTAGTTCTATAAAATATCTTTTTTAATTAAGGAATATCGATCAAACCAAAAGTCGGCCCAAAAGTCAGTTAACCGAAATGGTGTATTATAAATGGTTAGAACCGGTTTAGAATCGTCAATTTTAATAACGTACTCGTAAAATATATGTCGATAAACTGTATTTTGGATTAAGTCATACGTATTTATCATTTCGTTTTATTTCTAACCAATATGAAAGTGTAACTGTTGATCTCATTTGGATTTTATTCACAATGCCATAAATTATACATGAATTAGTAAAATCAAGGTAGTCTGTGCCTACTTAAAATTAGAGTCTAGAATATAACTATGAAGTAAAAAACATTTTTGCGGATATTTTCGATTATACGAGTTGATAGCCTTTGCGGAAATGCGACCTTTCAACTGATTGTTTGTAAAGAAGCTTTACATCAACATATTTACATCTGTGTTTAATCTTTCCTTATATAACATTGAAAAATGTACGGGATAAGACAAATATGCCCTTATATCCGATCTAAATTATGTATACTAAAATAAATATGTAAAAAAATGATTCAATAACCGTATTTAATCTCATTATATAAAAGGTAGTTCAAAAATCTGTTAATGAAGACATATTTTAAGATTACTTTAAAAACAATAAGACCGATTTGGAGCATCTGAATATCGTTATTCGTTATAATAATCTCAAAAAATATTGCAAAATATTGCCGTATCTTAAAACCTGCATGCAATAGTAATCAAATTTTGCACATGGGATCGCAGTGATTAAAAAAATATTGTTACATCTCAACACGAGGATACATTAGTAAGGGACAGTTTCATCACAAATCATTAAGTGGCAAACTCATCATGCAATTAATGCTAATTGTCAGCTATTGATTTACAACTTACAAATATGCAATATTTGTGACGAAACTGTACTTTAATGATGTATCCTTAGGCTGTAATATTGCAATGAACGTTTACTTTTTAATACTGTTCCACGTGCAAAAGTTACATATCTCACGGAAGTTTTAAGATATAATAGTGTGTATTTCGGTTAACGAACTTTTAGACCTTCTTGTATAATTATTGAGAAAATAGAAATTATATTTCATTAGATTGTTTAAAACGTTAATAAATAAATTATTATTCATTATAATATACTAAAATATTTAAAAAACGAAACAAATATTAAATTTATTTATCAGATAATAAATGTACTGTACCGTACGAAGAACATGTAAATATCATATACAGAAATTAATTTAAAATTTTAATACTTAATGTCATAATAATTATTACGTAATGTAACCTTTGAATTAAATATTTTTTATGCATTTTGCTAATTTATTGTTTTATAACGAAATTATTCCTATTAAAGTACGAATTAATAAATNTCAAATTCTTTCAGCTCCAATAGGCGCTCAAAATCTGCGGCATGGCTAGCAGCAGTCGATTTATCGTGTTTTCCACTTCTTATGGCAATATAAGTTGGCCCCGAGTAACTCACTGCTTCAGGATCTCCTAGTCCTTGCGGTCTATTAATTACTATACCTGCATAAACTGATGGGATTAGTTTGTGTCCTTCTGATACAATAAAATCGTGATCGGGAAGCTTTACTCTGTACTCTACGTGCATTAGGATAGGCGATTGTTTCTGTGCCGCTTTTAGATCGATAGGCACACGTGCCTTATCATCTTGTGAAATAAATGCAACTTGTTTCGGCTATTTCCATAATGCTTTTTTATATGACTTGAAAAATCTTTGGTAAACATCATCTAAGTTTATTTTTTGCATTTCTACGTCTAATATATTATCACGTCACACAAGATGGCGTTAGTACAACGAGCGTTCTTAACAGAAACCACCCAATTAAAGCCAAATTCAAAACTCCAGATTCAACGAAATAAAAAAAATAAATTTAAGAATATTACGTTAGACTGGATTTATTACCCCCTACCCCTGAGTAAGAAATAGTAAGAAATCATTGACCCCCTCCCACCCCAAAATACCTTACGTAATTTATGGACGGCCCCATAGTTTAAGCTGATATTTAATTTTCAAGAAAAGTTTTTTAAAATCTTTTTATCCGGTAGACACTAACAAGTAAGACGACCTATTTTAGCAAGTCCATTATGCGTACTACTGTATTAGTCTCACACTGGAAAGTACAACGTATCCGGACGGACCATTTTCGAAAAATTTTGGATTGTTTTCAATTCGTCATGATTTGATATGGGTCCTCATAATGGTAAAACACCACCTTAACCGCTCGGTTGTCCGACATTTTTTCAAAAAGACTTAAAATTTTTTATTCTGTAAACATCCAGATGTCAAATGTAAAAAATAATAATAAAACATTTTATTAAACGGATTCCGATGTTCTCCAAAATTATTTAAAATTAATTAAAAAATTTATTGACATATTGTTTTATAAATTGAATCGATCGTAAGTAGTTTTTGAATTGTAAATTTTTAACGTTGCCAGATGGCAAAATCCAAGCTGGCAACGTTACCAGTAATACAGAAAAATAAATATGGCCGCCCGGTGCAGCGTGTGTCTTTTCATGAAAGCGTTAAGAATTCTTTAATATATGACTATGTTTAATTATTTATGGTCTTTTTATATCAAAATATACGTTTCAGATGTAAATAAAGTGTAAAATTAATTAATAATGGCCTCGGTTTTACGACGTTACGGACTTTTAACAATTCGTCAATTTCAATGCTCGAGGTTATTACATAAGAACTCGCGGGTAATATTTAACAGTTTGCATTTTGGTACGTTAACAGATAATAAAGCGTTAAGTTTGACCCCCGAACAGGAGATGAACAATGCAAATAACGTGGAACAATTACTTTCTTTTTCTGATAAGATAGATATTACTGGACGTAGTGCTGTGCAGATACTGCAGATGCTAAATAAATGGATAATAAGTGGGCAAACTAACCTGACAGAGTTTAATGATGATCTGAGGTTCCACACTATCTGTAATGTACTAAGGAGAGACTGCCAGAAAATGACTCATAATTCTATCATCTTTGCACTTCGTAATATGTTAGAAATGGGATTGCCTCCGGAATCTGATTTAGTGAGATTTTACGAAAACGAAATGCTGTGGAAAGCTAGAAAGATGAATTTAAAAACTTTGATTACGTGTATGATTGTCCAGAGACGTTACCAGGAGACTGACTTACAAGTCGAAGTGCTGAACAAAGTGGTGCAGGTGATTCACAAGAGGTGGTTTGAAATAGCTGACGCGTCCGACGTGATCAGGTTGCTGCAGAATTCGGATCTGCTGGACGAGGAGTTTGTCGACCGAGTCGAAGACAAGCTTCTCGAACTGTTGCGCGATATGACTCTGGTGGAGTTGCATAAGATTCTGGTGTGTTTTTCTCAGTTGAACCGTCGCCCCACTCCTATACTTAAAGCCATATCTTATCACGTAAATCAGAAGAATGACAAATTGGATGCCAAGCAGTTGGTTAACACGTTGTTTGCTTTAAATGTGTTGTCTTTTCCCGACTCTATTTTGTTGCAAAAAATTGAAAATGATTTACTAGTAGAAATTCCAAATATAAATAAACCACAAATGATGCTTACTCTATTGATTTCAATTGGTCAGCTTTCTTGGAGAAATAAAAGTAAGTGTTATGTATCTACTAAACATAACATTTTTCGTATAATGTTTGTATTTCATTTTAAGCACTGGTCTCACTTGATGGAATGTGGCATAATTTGTGTGTACTTTAGAATGTAATATCCATTTGTTGCATTACATTATAATATCAACAAACAACTCTACTAAAACCCGATACAATATATTATTAATGCCGACTAGTGCCCTATGCTATCAAGCTATATAATGGGTATAATATTTATTTAATATTATAGACATTATATAGTCCAATAGCATACAGCAGTAGTTGGCTTTAGTAACATTAACATTATAATATGTTTGAGCTATTCAAACTAGAAGCCTATTTATAATCAAAGATTAGTAGTGGAGTTTCTAGAGTACTCTGTCTTCCATTATTATTTATACTCTTAAAGTTGGTTGGCATTTAACTGAACAACAATTGTTGTCATTAAAAATCAAATTTGAATAGCAGGCAACTGTGGAGATATGTTGCTAGGTCAGAATTTATATTCCAAACTAGACAATGAAAGTTTAGTTTGAAACTAGAAATGACCATGTACCAGTTTAATAAAATTGACAAAATTTTGCTCCGTATGTTAAGAAATATGCCATATTAGTTGATTTTCAAACTAGAAATAATACAATAATTTATTTATAATAATGTTGCAGTATATTTTGGAAATTATTGTAACTAATATTGTAAATATTAAAGGTAAATTTGTTTCAATAGATTTAATAGAAGCTTGCAGCGATTGGATGTTGAAAAACTTGAATCTCTGTCGGCCACAAGAATTAGCAGCGTATGTTATCACTCTGGCAAAAGTGAATTATATTCCTGCCGAAAAGAAGAAGATTTTTGATTTGATTTTACCTCGGCTTTCGGAGAAAACCGTCGAAGTTAAAAGAGTCTGGCTCGATGTCGTCTGGTCTTTGGCAATACTAAAAGAGGTGTCGTCTGAACACTTGGCTTCTGTACTGAAACCCTCCTTTTACCAAACAGAAATTGGTGAGCTACTTTGAAATATATCAATAATTTAACTGCTGTTTAATGTAGTTCATGTTTAACAGTGATTTAATTCATACTTTAATTTCAAATATTGTTAAAATATTAAATATTTTTATAATGTGTAGTAGTTATAATAATAGTCTTTCAACAGAATAAAATCATAAAGTAACTTCTACAGTATATCACACAATGATCTGTACACTTTCTTGTTTAGTAGCAGAAAACTGGAAGAAACAAATGTTTATGTAATGACTTCATTAGGTTTATGTTCAAAATATTGTACATTTTACAAATACTAATGGAAATACAACAGAAATATGTTAAAACTAAATGTATTTAAATATAAAAAGTAAAATATTCTATAATATCTTGCACAATTCTTAATTTCACAGTGAAAGGAAGATAAATACAATGTTAAGAAGTTACTTCCTTCCACAGTACTAGTTGCTTAGACATTGGAAGATTTGGTCAAGGTTCATTAGGATAAAGCTTAAGGTCACCAAGTGTATCGGGAATAAGCACCACCCTAGACGGGTGGTGCTTATTCCCGAGACCATTGAAATCTATAAATTATTATGAAAGGAGAATGAACTCTTGTCAACTACAAGAACCAAATTACGATATAGTGTGCTTGTAAACCTTGGTTGAGGTCTACACAACATAATGCAACATTCATTTTATTACAATTTTTTGTCATCTAGTTTTTTTTTGCACATCAGCAGATTATAGATTATGTTTTATATTTAAATATGTTTGCATATTTCTGTTGTATTTCTGTTAATATTTGTAAATGTTTGAGTTATTGAACATTAATGTGATGAATGTTATTAAATATGACCAAAAACATCAGTTTTTCAGAGTTTAATAAACTTTTTTTTCCCTGCTGTACAAGGTTCTGTATAGTTAATTGAGCAATATGATAGAAGAGTAATTCTTCTATCATGTTGAAAGACTAATATTATCCTTTAATACGGATGACAATCCAAAAGTAATTAGAACTGTTGGTTGGAAAATAAGATGTGAAATTATTGATATATATCAGATGTTATACTATAATATAATATATTGATTTGACTCATGACATTTCTATGAACATATACTTAAAAGCTGTGTATGATGAAAGAAAACAAAGTGTAACAGTTCAAACTGGTCCTGTTATCTAACCATCTAATCTGTATTCAATAGAGTAGCATGATTGTCTACCTTTATACCAAATTTCTTTAACTAATGAATTAAATTAACCACAATGTAGCTTGATGGTTTAGCCTTGTGTTCTGAAGTCTGTCTGGTATTAGTTATAAAATATGTCTGTAAATTAGTTGTATTCATACATATATCATATATATTTAATTTGTTTGCATGCATAAAATGAATTAATGTATTTTATTATGTTTTCACTTCAGGAAATGATAGTTATCAGAACAATATTTTTCGACTGAAGTTATTAAACGTCAGATCCGTTGCAGTCATTGAACATCCTCTGGATCCTAAATTAATAACAATAGAGAAACCAGTATTCAAATTCACTCAGGTAATGTTTATTTAACGATATTTTGATTGCTGTCTTCATTTCTATAAAAGTAAATCCTTTATGTCTGAAATATAAATGGTGTCTAAAAGATTACTGTGCACTGGAAAAGGATTTAAGTAAAGTGAAGTATTACATACAATATTTCAGTTTCTTCTACTTCAAATGTCAGAAAGGACCCCAGAGGTCCCAGAATCCAGAGGAGTGAGGTCCAGAGACATAGACAGCCACAATCCAAGGAAGACTATGCAATTGGCAAAAAAGTCTTTCAAAAACCAGAGCAAGCAGTAATGTGATCTACTGCAACATGGAAATGGCAATGTGCAACTTACAGGTCTTGTATACAATGCCATATGTGTGATTATAATGTCATTATAGATTTCTCGCTGCACAGTAACTTTACAGATACCTTATATATTGTCTTGCTATTTATCATCTCTATAATAAAACATATATAAGGAACTTCTATATAAAATATGATGGGGTGGATTTAACACTATTTGTTGATTTTAGCTTAAAAACAAGCTTAGAAACTTAACACTTAAGCTTAGAAACTTAAAAATTAAACACTTAAAAAACTTCTAAATTTTTAAGTGTTTAATTTTTTAAGTAAGAAAAGAAGTAGTAGTAAAGAAAATGTTAAAATTTGAAGTAATAGTGTCAAAATTTCAATAAAAAATTAAACCCATTTGCTGGAAAAGTGTGAATGGTATAGATTTTACAAGTTATCTGTTCCAGCTTTGATATTGTATTTTAAAATTTCAATAACAACATTGGACAAGTTTGGTACCAGCACAATGGTATGCTATCTCATTTCCAAGCAGATGTGCATCAGTGTCTCATAAAATGATTCAACAACTGATGGAGGGACAATGCAGACCTCTTCCGTGGCCACACATTTTCTAGACTTGACTCCACTGGTTTTTTTCCTGTCATTCTCAGTGTAGTATTGAAGGCAATCATTTTGAACATTTACTCCAGGAAAGAAAAGCTAACTGTGCACATCAACATTGATATAAATGAAATCCTATGATGTACTGCATGCCATAATATGATAAAGATCACAAAACTCTAATGTAGAATGCGTATGTACAGGATCCCATGAAAGATGATGATTTTAGCCAGACAAATCCAAACATCTTAAAACAAGCATCAAGGCATTGCATAATAAAAAAAAATATGCTATGGAATTGCATCCTTTCCTAGAATCCCATATGATGCCGGGAAATGATGACACTTAATATGTCTGCATATGAGGGCAGTATCATGTTCAAACATCTTGATAAAATCATTTGTAGATATATTTGGCAGAGTGATTTTGAGCCACTTAAAAGAATTATAATGAGAAACAATCTGAATCAGGGAGGATGGAGTGTGGGATCTTAAAAGTCTGGAATACTCTCTCCAACTGGCTAATATGGTTAATACTATAAAGAATCAGAACCATCCTCTTCTCTCATTATATATTAGGTCCTATTGCTAAACATATTACTAAGAATCATGATAATTTCACCTTCCTTCTTGACAACTCTAGTAAATACAAAAAATGGAGAGAAACTGTTACTACCATAATTAATAATGACCAAATTGGTAATAAATTAAGGCCCAGTACCGTCTACACGAACATTCATAAGCAAAGCATCAACAAAAATCTCATGGATACTACAATTAATTGGAATGAGATCTGGATTAATGTTGGGAGGCTCCCTCTGAGTAGCGAGAACTCATATGGAGAATTCTGAACAACATCGTGATGATTAGAGAGTATCTTTAGAGTAGAGCTGGTAGGTGTAAAGATACACCCACCATCGTCTGTGTTCTGCCCATTGTCCTCGGTGTGTGATGACAATGAGAGTATCTTTCACATCTTTTTTGAGTGCCACATTGCTAAGCAAACCTGGCACTGGGTAGACAAAATATTTAATACCTGTATCTCCTGTAAGTTCTACTCTAATTTCCCTGTGAAAAACCAGAATAATTACTTAATTAATTGGGTTAGAACTTTGACCAAGAGGGTCATTTGGAAAGCGAGATGCGCCCTTATTTTTGAAAATAAGAAAGGGAACGCAATTCTTGTAATAAATAAAATTCCTGATGAGGCTAACTTCAAACTAAAAGCTGATCATGAGAACTTTTCTTATAGGGAACACAACACACTATACTTTGGCACTGAAAATATTATATGGAAAAAAGTTAATAATAAATTTGTATTTAATGATCAGTGGTAACTAAACTACTACTGCTTCGATTGTAACTGTAATCATTTACGCATTTTTATGTAAAGAATACAAACTTTAACTGTTATACTCATAAAATTATTTCTGTTTAATATGTAACCTTTGTATCAACTCTATAATATTTTGTAATTGTACAGTTTTTATACAAATTCTTTGTAATTATAATTGCCAATGTTTGTGAAATGTAAAAGCCGAAATATTAATGCTGTAAATGGTTTATTTGTAACTCACATGAAACTATATGATTTAACTTTTTTGTATGTTTGCTCTTGTTATGTATACCATTCTCTCATAATATCCACCTTGTATACAATTATATATATTTTGCTACTGTAAATACCTTGGGTATTATGACCATTTCATAATTTTATTGTTTTCTTATTTAATTAATGTATAAGCCATCTAAAACAATGTATGAGGTGATTCATAAATGTTTCCTGCAGATCAGTGTGTTGCTGATTTGTAATAATTAATAGTTGTAAATAAACTTTAAATTAACCAGTGTCATGTTCTGGGATGAAGGACATAGGATCCTCGATTAGCCTGATTTTATCATCAGTAATTGGGTTGAAATTTATGAACACAGTCAAATCATTTTGATACTAATGGACTATCAAATTAATGGTGGATAATGTATTTCTAGAATGCCATTCCTTAACAGTGACCATCCTTAAGCACGTGATATTGTTAGTATATAGGTTTTATGTTATGTTATCTGTATATTAATTGAAATAGGGTTTCAGTTTATATGACTTACGGTGTGATAAATGGCTAAGGCTAAAAATATGATTCAGGTATCAAATTTAAGTCCCATCCTACAGATGATCTCACTGAAGAGAGATTTCAGAAAAGTGCAATAGTTCAGGCTTGGCAAAGTGGCAAAGGTACTGTAATGTGCAAAGTCTATGGACAAACATGTTGGGATCCAACCCTATTAACTTTAGCCTGAGCAACTTTTTTGTGTTTTGTGGCTTCAGTGTTGTAAATACTGAGGTCAATAAATGTGCATTTTAGTTACTAAGACCGTTGTTTATATCACCCTCTCCCAACTCAACCTCACTAATCCCCACCCGTCAAAAATCCGAGCAATGCCAGGCATGTGCGGCTACTTACTTTTTATTGGTACAGACTTGGTTAATCTTTATTTACGTTTGAAATAAATTTTATTTCTCATTATTTAAATGTTAATTTGAATAATTTTATATTTAAACTAGAGGTGAACAGATATCACTTGAATATTAACCAGATCTTGAGTATTTGAACATCAAAAATACTTAATGAACTTAATTACCTCAAGATCTAGTCCCTTAGTGACAGTAATATTTTCAATTTAGTTCCCCCTTTAAGTACTTCTGTATCCATCACTGTGACTGTATGTATAATGTGATATTTATAATACGAGAATTTAATTTCTATTAATGTAATATTCAAAATGTTGAGTACTTTCTAGTATTTAATTATTCCTGGGTAGTATTTACTCATGGCTAATTTAAACATTAAATTCATTTCTTCCACAAGGCATTATAGTAAAACATACCATCTACACTTTATCCAGCAGCAACACTAATATACAAATGTTCTCGACAACATTTAGGGGCCTGTATCAGGTTTCAACATTAACCAAATCGAATGTCTAATGAAATACCTAACGCTCAATTTGGTTAATGTCGAAATTTGTCATAGGCCCATAAATTTAGCTGAAAACATTTGTATATTAAAGTGTTGCGGCTGGAAAAAGCATGGATGGTGTGATTTCTTATATGTAAGTTCCAGCTTACCTATGGAAAAAGACATTATAGAACATAACATTTTATTTGCTCGATGTTCTGTACTTAAAACCTGAAGTTGGCTGATGAAAGAAGCCAAAAACATTCAGTTTACTAATATTTTCTGTCACTGAAAATGAGACAGCAAAGGTCTAAACTTATTGGTTGCCTGTACGTGGCTAGAGAGAAATCTAAATGACAGCTTTTGTAAATGGCTTATTATTTTGAGATGTAAAAAAAAATGTTAAACTAAAATTTGCTTTGTTTTTATTGATTTGCGTGAAAAAGTTCCTTTATAATCAGTTATTATTTAATTTATATAACAGATGCAATGCCACTTTTTGTTTTAGTGCCTTTAAAGCACCAAGTAAATGACAATCTCCATTAAAACCTAACAATCACTAATGTCTATGCCTGAAATAGGATTCATCTGGCTATTGAAACATTACTTTATCTGACAAAATATTATAGTTTTGGTCAAATAGATGATGTTGGAGATGTGCCTTAATAAGAAAATTGATATTTTATGGAAATGCTGCTTGTAGATCTGCACAACAGCTTGTAGCCTTTTGTGGAAGTGGCTGATGTGGGCCAAAGAAGTGACAGTCGAGAGCCGTAAATATTTGATATTCCCAAGCACACTGACAACAATTAAACTATATTGGCTAAGTCTTAATATAAGTCTGTAAGTGGAGATGAGAGGGCCAAGTAAAGTTCGATAGTCTCCACTGTCATATGAACCATGAATGAATGAAACAAACACTTAGCAAAACATAATACAGTGGGTGATCGGTTAACGAACATAATCCATTCCAAGACTTTGTTTGCTATCCGAATTGTTTGTTAACCGATTATCTATTTACCATAGGTTTTAATGGGAATTTAATTAATTCGTTCTGGAGAACCCCAAAAATAAAAATATATATTTTCTTACCACGTTTATTTATATGTAATAATAAAAATACATATGTACACAGTCTTGCGTTTTTATTAGTCATGTTTTTTCCGTTTGAAAGGGTTAAAGAATCTGTCTAATGTCGATTGTTTTTCTCTCTTCTTCAGGATTTTTCGTAAGTAATTAATAACATTGCAATTGTAGAAATCCCCAAGCCTCAACCTGGTTTGGATGCCATTCTAAGANATAATAAAAATACATATGTACACAGTCTTGCGTTTTTATTAGTCATGTTTTTTCCGTTTGAAAGGGTTAAAGAATCTGTCTAATGTCGATTGTTTTTCTCTCTTCTTCAGGATTTTTCGTAAGTAATTAATAGGATTGCAATTGTGGAAATCCCCAAGCCTCAACCTGGTTTGGATGCCATTCTAAGACCGTTGTTCTGACATCCTCCCACTTCTTCAAAGGATCTTTAATAACAGATATCGGCATTAATCCTCGTTTTCAAAAGAAAACATATCTTGCCGAGTTTCTTGGTGTTCTTCATTCAAGAGTTCTTGGCGTTCTTCTGTCATCAGATCCGTTTCAGGTTCCATTATGAACTTTTCGATGTTCTTTATTTCTCAGACATGATTTTTGTTACTCCTTTAGCTGTTTGAGTCTTCTTGATTATACAATATTTTTCTTAAATAAGATTGAACTGTGGCCTACTGTAGACCCGTTCACACCATATTGCCCAGCAACATTAGGCATCTTCTGCCTACTCTCTATCTGTGCTATTATACTCTCACCTTTTGAAAAGAAAAACACGCAAAACCTAACGAGTGCCTACCCGACAGTCTCACGAATACATATAAGAATTGTTTTGTCAGAAAAATAAAAGGCTGGAATTACAAGGGAGAGTTTCAAAGCTTGGAGGAATACTATCCGATCGGTATATACTGGCTTGAGTGTCGATGTTGACGTTTCCCGCACTCCGAAAAGTTTCGGATTGTTGCCCGAAGACAAGGGAAAACCAATCGGTATTCATTATTTTACGTCGCTTCTTCTTGTGTTTGTTCTGTGGAGTGTTCGTTATCCGATCATGTGTTCGTTGTCCGAACATAAAAATCTTTCGCGAAAGCGTTCGTTATCTGATCTGTTCGTTAACCGATCACCCACTGTATTGTGTGCATTGTGTTATGTGATACAAAGCAAGTTAGGACATTGGTTAAAAAGATTTAGGACACTAGTCATGAAAAGTGAATTGGTCAATCAAACTGAAGTTCAGCAAAAGTTGAGATATTCTCAAGTTTTAACTGGTCAAATACTTGCTGAAAGGGGATGAACTGACAGTTTCTATCCACTTCATAGCAACTTGTAAGCCAACGTGTAGGTAGCTTAAAGAATGTAACTGATAATGCATGTCTGTTATGCAGAGTTCAAGTTAACTCCAGAACTACTGTTCTACTTTTTGCAAATTACTCAAGATTCAAAATTAATTTCTAATCACTCATCTTTGTATAAGATCACACATCAGCCTACTTTAGGTCAAATTAGAAAGATAATTAATAATTAAATTAAATAAAAAATAATAATTTTGATGTATTTTTAACATAGAAAAAGCATCACAGACTATTAAAGTTGTTATGCTATATTCAAAACTATAAAAATTGCTATGCTGTCTGATACGTAAGATAATTAAGAAATTTATAGTTATAAAACTGCAATATCAATATAAAAATAAGAAAAGTATACAAATTTTAAATACATTTTAACATGCAAGTAAGAAGGGTGAAATAACCAGCAAAAAGCAACAGCATGGCTGGTTATTTAATGATCCACTTCTACAAAAATATACAAAGGATTGATGTTGTATGTGTTGTTAATTATTAATTAGCTAATAAGAAAGAAATTAATAGTAATGGTATGATTTTAATGATAGAATTTAATTAAATAGATAAAGAAAAGTGAAGAAAGACAAGTTTCTAACTTGGTTGTCCACGCATTGAGCGATTTCATACCAATTGGAAAATACATGGTTGTAAATCAGGATTCATTAATGGGAATTACTATTGGTAATGAATAATTTAAATTTTTTTTGTCATTTTTATTCTTGTAATTGAGTTTCGTGGATTTACAGATGCCGAATTCATCGTAGACAAGAACGGAAAGCCACAGCCAATAGAAATATATGGCACGAGGAGTGGCCTCTCTAATGTATGCAAACCGTTGCCTAATAACCTTCACAGGTAAATTGTTTTATTTTGGACTTGTAAAATGAAGCAACATCAAAAGTTAAAATATTTTTTTAATGTGCAATAGCTCATTACATTGATCCCACTCTTTCTGTCCATCTGACTGCCCCATAATCCTTTTTGTGATATGAAATGTCCTTTAAGTGCCCACAGGATGGAGAGAATTTTAAATACTGTATTTATTATTTATAGTTTTAATATTATATATTAAACAAATTCAATCATTTCATAAATAAATAAACAATAAAATATGCTTTAAAATATACTTATATTGATTTGTAAATTATTTTTACAGGATAGCTGTAGTCGTTTGGGATTTTAAAGATCTTACGTTGGATGGCCAGTTAACGGGAATAAATTCTTTATACGTCAGGCTTCTGAAGAAAATAGGCTATTCTGTTGTAGAGGTGAATGAAATTTAAAATTAATTTTATTACCTACTCACGTATAGGTTGAACAATCAAACTGTAGCATCACAGTAGCCAAACTGTGGCTTGTGAGCCGTTAATGGCTCTTCCTAGTCCCTTATTGTGGCTCCTGTATACTTATACAATTTAGTTTTTAAACTTGGTATATACTACTAACACATATATAATATTTTTGTAAGTTTTCCGACTTGTGTAGTGCAGTGTAATATACAAAAGAATTGTAAGTGTACTTGCGGCATGCTATTGAATGGGCATTAGTCTTAAGACATATTTAAAAGCTTAGGTGCTGTACATGTGTAAAGTCAAAGGAGTTAAATGAAAGTACGTTACTGATACTTTATGACTGACTGACAAGGTCATAAAGTGATCAGTAAAGTGATATTTACTTGATAGATGGTACAGTTCTCCAGTAGACATTTTAATAGAGGTTGCAACACTTGTGCATTTCTGACAAGCTACGCATGACTCCTATTGTGACAAGGTTTGGTCACCCTTCCTATAGAACATTAACTGCATTTAGTGTCAGAAGAGTATTAAAAACAAATACTAAAATTTTTCTTTCCTGGCTGTTATACCAGTATAGAGGGAAAGTATGGTGATCCGGCAAAAAATGATCCCACAGATTTTTAATTTTTATACTTGGGACACCTTGAAATGTCGAAAATTGCAAAAAAATTTGGGGGCAATTCCTATATGTATGGATTTTAGTGTGGAGGGCACAATTTTGTTCACTTTCTTTGAAACTTAACTCCTGTGCTTTTTGTCAAAAATTTCTGAAATTTTGCAGGGAAGTTTGTTTATTACGGGGCTTGATGCTATTAAATTTTGGCGATTAAAGGTCTAGGGGGTGGGTAGATAGTGGGAGTCGTGTGTATCTCCAGTACCTAATGACGATTTTACTCATTATTAGCATTTACAATTTTTTATAAAACTCATCTCTACCCTCAAAATTAAGGCTTTTACTATTTTATAATAGTTAAAATTATCATATTTTATTAAATAAACTTTTTATAACAGATGGCATTACCAAAATTTTAAATGTTGCTAAGGAAGTGTTGAGCAACCCATTGCTGGTTTATTTAGGTTTAGTGTAATATATTGTTACATAAGCTGGATCCACTTCACAGACTACACTCAGATCAATGAAATGATATTGTAATCAGGTTAGAGCAAGTGGATAATTTGCCTAGGTGTTCCATTGTTAAAAACGTAAAATATAAAATTATCAAGGAGAAAATGAATTTTCTTTATTTGAAAATACATACTTTGGTAGTGATATTGACATTGTTTACAAATAATTTTCAAGCCCAGATGTGTAAGTAAAAAATGAAAACCACATGTCTTTGTATATAACTTTATCACTTTTAGCATTAACGACAAATAATTAAGTTGTAATTTGTGACCTAGAAACAAAATAAATGCAATATAATAGCTATTTACTTATGTAATATTTATTTTCAGGTTCCATACACCGAGTTCAACAATAAATTAAATCCTGTGAAAAAGGTGCAGTACCTTCAAGATAAAATAGCCCAAGCCATTTAAATTAAGTTCAATATTAAAAAGAAAATTAATTTTTATTAACTCTTTTCATAAAGACAACTCTGTATAGAATCTAAATAAAAGATTAAAATATATTTTCTTTGTTTTGTAATCATAATTTTGAAATCTGACAGGAGTAAAGTAATCGTAAAATGAATTGGAAGTTAAGTGTACCAAAAATTGCAAGAAATTAATAGTTAATAGTTGCATAATTATAGGGTTGAAAGTCTCCTTATATAAGTATTCATTATTTTCTTGCAGTTGATGTTCTAGTGGTTTCCATACATATACCCTCTTGATTTTTACATATGGAACACTTACAGGTTGCAGTTTATGAAGTAAAACTACAAAATAACTATCAGGAATGAATTTGTGATGCATGCAAGCATAACATTGGAAATTTTAATATGCATTCAACTTGGATGGGTGGAACACATCTATATAAACATGTTTTCATATAGAATATACAGGGTATCCATAAAGTCCATATGCAATTTTAAAATTTTATAACTATTAGTATTGTGATAGAAAAAAATCTGTAAAAAGTATTAGAAAGCTTAATTTAGCTAGTTTTAAGTAAAATTATTTAGTAATAGATTGGAAGAGGTGGACCATTTTCCTGGCCTCCACATTCACCAGACTTGACTCCGTTAATTTTTTTTATGGGGACGTGAAAACAGTAGTGTGTGCAACCAAACCTCAATCAGTAGAAGACTTGAAAGCTAAAATATGTAATGTGAATTCAGGCATTACTGTAAAAAAATTGGCAAATGTTTTTAGAGAACTACAAAATTGTATTACCCTTTGTATTACTAACTAGCAGACTCCGCCACGTGTTGTTGTGGCTCAAAATGTATCTATTATAAATGTATAATACTTCCCCCGTGGGGGGAATCTTTCAAAAAATCCCTTCTTAGTGTACATTCTCTTGACGTACCCTATTTAAACGCAATCAAAAATGCAAAAACCCGCGTCTAAAATAGTATAATAGAAGTCAAGTTGTTCACGGTAAGCCTTAATCCTGTCCCTCTCCCTCGTGGGAGGAATATCGAAAAATTCCTTTTTAGTGTATATTCTGTTGATGTATCCTATTAAAACACAATCAAAAACGCATAAAACCCCATCTAAAATAGTATAAATAGAAGTTCCATTATAAATATTGGTGAAAGAATTTTTGAAATCAGATGAGTAGTTTTGGAGATTACCTCCTACATACAAACATTACCTCTTTATAATAATAGTATAGATGATATGGACACATGGAAACTTAATAAAATACAATAAAACAATATAGATTTTCTTATATCCAATATATTGTATTATAGATTATTAGTATTTGTGTTAGAGAAATTAAGTTATAAAATATTTAAATTGCACATGGACTTTATGGACACCCTGTATTGTGGGACAGAAATGATTATAATAGAGTCAGTCCTGGACAAAAATGTCAAAGTTACTTCCAAACTTTCATGAGATTGACACTTATACATAAGGTAAAAAGTATTAGTAACTGGAGCGTGGTGATCAAACTCGATAATCTTTTTCAAGATAACAATATCAACAGGGATACATTAGTCAGAAGCTTTGAATCATCTTATTATGTAATATTTGTTATCAGAGACCACTGTTTTTATGTCAGAGCCTGACTTAAAACCAGAATGCTATTTTGACATCTGGTAATTCCTTTCCACATCCTATAATGATCAGAAAGTTACAAAATTATACATTGCTTGAAGTCGTCCAAGCAAATGATATATTTTTCTAGATAATTTGGTATGTAGAAGGTCTCATTTTGAAATTTCTGGCAAGTGTTGCTAATTTATTTATGTTAATGCATGTTACTTGTTTCAATTTAGGCTATTAAAAGTCTGATAACTTTCATCCCTTCTACATTATATAAAATAGTTTGGATGGTTTAAAAGAAATTTGTATATTTTGACCATTTCAAAACTTTCATCTGGAATTGTATATGGAGAATTTGAATAACATAAACAGGGTGATTTCATTGCTTCTCACATTTGGTAAGAACAAAGGACCTTGCAACTCTGATGGCTCTATTGGCAGAGAGAAGGGTCCCACTATCATAAATCCACAATACTTATATGCTTATTTTAGGATTAAAATTTAGGTATCCTGCACTTTATACAAACCACACAGAATACCAAATAAAACTATTCTTATTAATAAATTGTTTACAGATTAATTCAAAGGTGGAGAATTCTTCTCTTACTGGTCAGATGCCGTTCTTAAAACTATGCATTATAGTAAATTTTAAATATTTGTTACTACTGATCTTATAAATTTATGAACATTGACATGAAACAGCTGGCATAAAAGTAAATAGAACATTCATCAATAACATAAGATATGCAGATGACACAGTCTTGCATGCAGAATATTTTAATGATTGCTAGACAGAATAGTAGTGTGTAGAGAGGAATATGATCTTTGAAAGTAAAGGAAACAAAATTTATGCAAATCACTTAGGCTGTCAGCAGTAACAATAATGAAGCTTTACATTTACAATGATCAAGTTGAAAAAGTACAAAGATAGGTCTACTTGGGTACTGAAGTCAATGCAAACAATGATTATACAGAATAAATAAGAGTGAGAATAGAAAAAGCAAGAGCTAATTTTCTCAAAATGAAAGAAATATTTTGCAGTAAAGATTTAAACTTAAAATTAAAGATATATTTAGTGAGGTGCCATATATTCAGTATACTCCTGTACAGATTGGAAGCCTGAATGTTGAAGAAGGGCCAACTTCAAGAAACTTGACTCCTTTGAACTATGGATATACTGAATAATATTGAGTAGACCACAGACGGATAAAATTACTAATGTGGATGTACTAAGACAAATTTCAAAAAATAAAGGAATAAGATCAAACATTAAAAGATGAAAACTTCAGTACTCAAGCCACGTTATAAGTGGAGAGAAGTACAATCGGCTGCAAGTGATAATTCAAGGAAAAATAAATGGTGTAAGAAGTGGAGAAGGAAGAATATCACGTTTCTTCTACTAGAGAAGGGCTGCAATCACATTTTCTTTTTCTGGACTGTTGCTCACAATGCTTATCTTCTTCGGAGCAAAAGCACAATAACAGAATTTAATGTTTAAAGAAATGATTATGTTCTACGGCAATCAAATAAAAAAAAAAAAACAAATCATGACTGAGCAAATTCAGATAATGGTATGACCATAGTTTCAGTCAACTTTTCAGAGCAGCAGTGTCAAAAGAGAAGATAGCAATGATGATTGCTAACCTTCAGAACGGAGATGGCACTGGAAGATAGCCACATCGAAGTCCCATAGCTAAGGCTCTGACAACAGAAATTCTTTTTTACTTAGCCATTAGGTATTAAGAAATTCCAGCTTTTGTCTTCCTTATTGATTGTGGGTGTGGCAAAACCCACACTGAACCATAGTGTTGCATCACAACGGCTATGCCACTTCCCGCTATGCTCACCAGATGATAAATTCTAAATGAAATTTTTCTGTAAAGGAGTAAGTTAACGATATTTTTATTAAAATAGTAACTATCCAAATATAACCATTTGCATATTTAAATGTATTGTAGGCTGATACCTACAGGATAAAGAAATAATTCTAGATCCCAAATTAGGCCATCAGCCGATTTAATCTCTCCACTTACATAAAGACAGTCGGTGATCTGAACGAAAAGGGACGAATCCTGATCGCAGCTCGAACCAATATGTCTAAGGGAACACGATGCAGACAGCGCAGATCTCCACAAACGGTTTTTTTTATTACTAAAAAGTAGTAATAATAAGTGAAATATAAAGATCGTCAAGGCCACCGTCGAAAACCGTTTGAAAAAAACAACGGATCGCGCCTGACGATTTAGCAAAAGGTTAGGTAAAAGTGCATTTGGAACAACCTCCAAGCACCTGAGGAGATCTACATGCTTCTGATTCAAATCTAGACACGTTAGCAGGGCGGAATGTTCTCCGATTCCTATTGGTCGAAGTGGTTGTGACCATTTGCGTGACGTCGATAAACGAAACTGATTTTCCTTGTAGGGAAATAAAATTTAAAAAAAAAACTCGATTTCAATTACTTGTACTAAAAGATATAAAAATAAATAAAATATGCCATGTTTGTTTATATTTAAATATAAAATACGTTATTTATTAAATAATTCTAAACCTGTAATTGTATTACACAGGGAATTTTAATACCGTGCGGGGATAAAAATTTTTTTATTTTTATTTAAAATGAAACGAAAACCTTATATTTAAAACGAATTAATGTTAATAGTAAATATTTATTTAAAATAAAGAAATTTTTCTAACCGATAAAAGTTTGAAATTTTTTTTTAAATATAAATAGGGATATATCCCTGTACGTATCACGTGATATACACTGCGTGATTAGACTTGAAGTGGGTGAGGTATTTTTGGAATTTTGACGCTTTATATTAAAATATATACGTAAAGAATTAATATCAAGACAAATTAGTGTTTTAAAAGCGCGAGTCGAGTTGGAATTTCTTTGTCTGTGTTCGAAAATTACAAAATTAGAGAAATTAAAACGATCTTTGACAATGATAAGTGAATGTGCCGATGACTCTCACAGAGAGAGAAAACGTAATTGGATGCTGGATGACGAAGAAGAAAACGTGGAAGATAAAACTGCTGAAAGTGAACCGGTTGTGGAAGGAAGAATTCGAATTAAAAATAAATTGTAAGCATTCAAATCTTATTCCTAAAGGTAATATTATATTCGGTTAAAGTTTAGATACGTAGACTGTCATGGCGGCTCATCTCTGATTCCAGCAAACAAAAGAAAGGAAACAGTGGGGACGCACGTTCTAACCTAACCTAACCTATTCTAATAAATTACCATAATTATTACCAATCAAATTATTAGAATAGGTTAGGTTAGGTTAGAACGTGCGTCCCCACTGCTGGAATCAGAGATGAGCCGCCATGACAGTCTACGTATCTGGACTTTAACCCTTTCTGTGGGAATACTGGTGGTTCTTTTTGGTTAATAGGATGCCAGAAGAATATCGTGTTTAACAATTTAGTTTACGTGATTGTGCTGGCTTTGAGTAGACTAACTTGACCT